AGGTCCGTTTACCCCCTGCTCTTTGCCTTTTCCCTCACGAGTGGGCTTTGAGTGATTTCAATTACACGATTGCTGTTTTCCTCCTTGGATGGATCGGATCTTGAATGCTATCTGCCGCTGTCTTATTGAGCGAGTGGATTTTTTTTTAAAATGGAAATCGGATTTTAGGTTGCTCGAGTCATTTCTCCCGAGTTGCTAGGAATTAATTCATTTAAACCGAAGTTGCATTTTGCTAAGTTTTCGTCTCGATTTGACTCACGATTCGGAGACACAGGAACTTTCGTGATCCGTGCTGAACTCTGTGACGTCACTCGGAATTCCCGCGGAGTAAAATGTAGCACTTGGGTTGTACCGATTTTTAACCTCGCTGTATCGATTCTGGAATCGAGTTTGATTTGCAAGGGACGATGTGAGCCGAGAAAGGCATAATCTCCATGCATTCCAATCTGAGATGTCATACTGTAGCACCTCTGGCATAAAATTACTGTCAATTAGCGAATGCGGTTTATCGATTCTTGGCATCCAGAGACATTACTCCGCGAGCAGCATGATTTGAGGGCGAGATGATTCCGATCGATTGCATGCCGCAGAAGCCGATTGTGGAAGTTTAGTCATGAATGGCCCGCTTTAAAATAATGCCATGACTTCTAGTATTGAGTGGAGTGGTTTTTGGAGTGCTTTAATCTCTTTCTTTCCTCCGCTCTTTCCCAACTCTCTGCACGATTCCTTCTCCTCGAAAACTCTTGGCTTGTGCTTGCATCTGGGCAGAGCTTTGTAGTGGTTACCAGCCGAGCGTGGGTGAGTCCTTCCCTTCTAGATCATACTTTTCGACTAATGCCTCGCTTATTCCAGACGATTAATCCACTAATACTACAACTAATGAGGAATAAGAAGTACGAAATCCATATATAAGTTTGAATTTCTCAAGGCCGAGGAACAAGAGCGGCAGAAGCAGAAATCGTTCTACCGCTGGCTCACGACGCCCTTCGATTACGATCACTCCGTCATCCCCAGCGAGCCTGAGTACTTCTCGACTGGATTTCAGAGCAGCAAGGAGGACCAGTGAGTGTTCAACGAGTCGTGTCCGACGTTGAATTTGTTGCGGCCCTGCAGTACAACGCGATTGCGGGGAAGCTCGTTCGACTCCCAGTCGAGTGAGAGGAGCCCAGTCGCGGTCTCCCTCTTTTCCCGAGGAGAGGCTTCGTTTTATCGCCTCGTTGAACACACTATTCAGATCTCGTTGAGGTTTAGGCGGAAGGTAGTACAGGCAAATGAGTAAGCCTTGTGCGACATGCACCCCCAACCTCCAATACTAATTAGTGCATGTATTACTTAAGCAATTAGCTGTTACATGCCTAGTTTCGTGCACAATCTTCATCAGTAGCGTGTGATGTGTTCCTAGCCCGTTTGCGTTTGACTGCCAATTTTACATCGATCTAAGGAACTTTTTTTGGAGTTGACATTAGCCAAGCAATCAACAGCTCGCATGGTCCCATTCCTTATCGAAAAGACAGCCAGTTTATAAGGGTCATAGACTATGTTGCTGTTCTTCCTTGAACACTCCCCCCCCCCCCCTTCAATTTAGGAGCACTGACCCCATCAACAACTAAGGCAGTCAGTATAGGGTGCGTCGAAGTCTTGTCCAACTGCTGATTGGTAAAAGCTCGTGAAGGAGATATCAGATTGCAATGCAAAATATAAAAAAAAGAACTCGAAAGCCGTGAAAATGTTCCTCCCACCTTTAAAAAAAATTGTCACTGGATTGCAAACAAGAGCACTGCTAAATATTTACAAGCTTGAGATCTGCAACAATTCGTTCGACCGATGCCGTGGAATTGCGGTCCATGCTGTTCCGAGCCTTTTCGACTTCCATAACGATTGATACATATACCTTCGTACCGATCCGAAGCTACGATCAGTTCGTAGACGTCCAGGGCACGGTCGATCTGATGCCGTTTCCGTCGTGTCAATATTTATTTGCCATTCCCATATCGACCGATAGGAAAATGGCTCTTAATTGGGTCGGTTTACCACTACATTTTCCTTCATTATGCTGTCTGTTCGCGGTTCCCATAGTAACCAGAGAACTGGATCCAATGCGCATGTGCAACCTTCAGCCTGGGTCGCGGTGTCACCGACCTTAACCGCCAGTTCCCTTCCAGCCGTTCAAGCCGATGGATCCATAGTTGACAAGGGAAGAGAGAGCCCCTGCTCGTGGCATCACGGATAAGGTTGCAGGCCGGACTCGTAAAATGTTGCATCTGGCATCCTACATGCTTTATTCTCCTTCTCTCTCCCTCTCGCTTTACTCCTTCCACTCTCCTTCCGTCTCCACACGAAGGTGGACGCGCGAACCCTGGAGGAGTTTCTCCAATCATCCGGGGCTGCTCACGTAGGCCTACGATGATGGCAACTATAATTTTTCAAAAAGTTTTTATAGTTATGAAACCACAGATGAAGGAAACACCAGTGGTATGGTTCGACTAATGCAGTCCAATGGGTTGGCATTCTAATTGATACAGACGATCGATTTCCGGCTGAGATTTTCTCTGTTAAATTATTTATTGAATTTGCTGAGTGGTTCCCGTCGCATTTTGAGCCGAATTTTGAGTAAAGCGGAATATTTTCTGCGCGCCTACGGAAAGTCAGTCGGTTTCTGTCGTGCTCAAATTTATTTGGATTTGCGGGAAGATTACTCAGCGCTGTTATCTGATATGATTGCATTCGTGGAAACCCCCGGAAACGGAATTTACTTGACAGCTCATTAAAGAAGGATGCGTTCGGCGAAACAATGCAATAATATATTTCCATGCAGAGGATTTTCTTGCCTTTCTGAATGGTCTAAACTGGATCTAAATCCAATAGAGCATCTCAAACTTTTATCAACGTACAATGGGTTGGGCAAGACGTACCCTGTGACTGCGTTGCCTTGTCTTCATCCTCCGAAGAAACTATAATAAAAATTGCTATTCGATGTATTTCTTGCTTTGTACGTTCTGGCTGTACGAGGTTCATCTCGAGTGCAGAAGTAAAAGCATTGCGCGACAGAGAAGAGAACAGTAGAGTGTAAAAGTTACATTTTATTGTTTATAAGCTACTTGTAAAGTGTAGAATTCCTTTGCTGCGGATGCACTCAACACTGACCTTAGCAATAATACCGATATCGATTCCACGCCTTCCATAAACGTAATTTGACAAAAATGTCAGTCGCAGCGGCTTCCTGTCTAACCTTGAGGTGAATCCGATCCTTTTTCTTTTTTTATTCCCTGACCATTCACATTACAATTGGCATCCTTTCATCTACGAAATTGTCCATCATGCGCCATTGGATACTGACGACTCCTCTCCTGCGTTGCTCTCTGGATGATGACTTTTTTTTTATTGAGTACTAAAATCATGAAGTTAAGAATATTCTCTAAAAAGTTGGTGTTCACAGAGAAGCCTGTGAAAGTCAGCGATGATTCTTGTGGCATGCCTGGGAATGTTCGATAGTCCCCCATTTCGCATGCTTTGTGTTTCCGATAGAAATTTCCTTTAAATTATTTGTCTCTTTCACACACTGCTCGCGCTGATTCAGAATATTTTAGCAATTTTATTGTAACCAAGAGTGAAGGTTTGTCACGAAAAAGTTATATTTAACCTCCCTTCTCCAATATGAAATGTCTCCATCGTTGCCTTTAGAACGACAGGTTGACACTTCACCGTGTAAGTACCAGAACTGCATATCTGCAGCAACCTGGAATGATCTCAAGAAGTTACCTGGAAGCGTTATTATTGCAATGACCCTCTTTCGCAAAATTGCAACACTCCCCATAATTCCAATTTCATCAGTTCTACCCTCTTCAGTTGAATACAGTCGGCAGTGGCCGAAGCGAAGTGACTCAAAGTAAAAATATTTCCAATCGGACTTCGATATTTAAAATCTAGAGGAACCCTAGAGAAACCCTTTAAAACCATCACAAAATAATAATAATGAATATTATACTCCTGCTTCCTGCTTTCCTCCCCTTCCCCTCCTTTTTGTATGCCTTTTTGTTTTCCAGGCATATTGCTGGTTGATATATATTTTATAACACCATTAATTTTTTTAAATGATTTTCTTTCCTCACTACTTACAAGCAACCAGAAGTAAAAGACATTAAACTCTTTTTCTTCGGGCGTACACGAGTGAAACGGAGTTGCCATGTTCCCAAGCGCAAAGAAACTAAATAATCCCATGCAATGGCAATCGAACAGGTTCGTGATCAAGAACCGCGACACAAAATTCTCGAATGCCCAGCGGACCTACATCGTATACGAGTTGCTGCGCCGCGTCCGCTACGCCGACGATGACAAGATGAAGTTCGGCATCCAACGACTCATCAGCAATGGGACCTACGATGACGGATTCCCCTTGCATGATGGAAGATACGACAAGGATCCTCCCAATGGAACACTCAGCACTAGAAGGGTCAGCTATGTCATCGAACTCGTTAATATGAATCCCGGTAGAGGCCTGAAGCCTCATTCCCCCCCCACATACACACACCCGGCAGCCCTTACTATCTTATAGTATTTGGCACCCCTTTCAGATATTCTTTAATGACCCAAATGTCTGGTGCACCTGTCAGCTCGTGCCCCTCTGAGGACTTTCGGTGAAGCCATAGTTCTTGTGCAATCTGTGAAACTGACATTCGGATTATCTATGGCACGGTCCTCTTGGCTGTCTCAGAAATGTCCATCGTAAAATAGGGAGAGCAGACAGGGAAACCCCCTTTAAAAATATATATATCTACGATTTCATTCCAGTGGCAAGAAAATATTTTGTAAGATAAAACTGCTGCTTCAGATGTAGTATAGTTTGAAGTAGAAAAGCCCTGAGAAAAGCCACTGTCAGATCTGAATATAATTAGAATTAAAGGTCCAGCTCGTTTCATGTCTAAATTTAGCCTTATAAATGCGAATTTTTTAAAAATAATTACTTGAAAATTTGTAAAATGTAGGACTTTCGGATGTATCAGTTACCTCCCACGTCAGCATCGAAGTTAGCATGCAGATTAAAAGATGCCAGTGTCATGTAAAAACTAAAAACTGAGTATTTTAGTACACGCATGTATAAATTCGTCCTGATCTAAATTCTTCTACAAGCAATTTAGTTTCTTCACCTAAACATAATTGATATGAATGGCGATAGAAGGTCCTGTTTTGTTTCTGTTTCATGCATATTATTTAATATTTAGTTTCCTTTTGAAAGTTTTTAACGAAATTGCTTTCAGCTGCTGTACCAAGAGTGGGCACGTCCTCTCTGTTGGTACAAGCGCCAGCCGCTGTGGCTGGTCCGCAAGTACTTCGGCGATCAGATCGGTCTCTACTTCACCTGGTTGGGCTTCTACACGAAGATGCTCATCCCGGCGGCCATCGTCGGTGTCATCTCCTTTCTCTTTGGGATCATCAGCCTTCAAGATAATATTGCTAGGTGAGATGCCAAGACGTCCTCGTTTGTCGGTAGTACGGGGAAGGAATTCTGCGACTTGTCACGTAATTTGTCATCTGTCATTGTTAGCCGAGACATCTGCGACGAGAATGGGCCTGGGAATTTCACAATGTGCCCGTTGTGCGATAAAGCATGTCATTATTGGAAGCTGAAGGACAGCTGCACCTTCTCCAAATTCACATTCCTTTTTGACAACCCTGCCACTGTATTCTTCTCCATCTTCATGGCGTTCTGGGGTAAGTGTTTCAAAGCGTAGATTTTTCATGGGCATCGTATCCAGCCCCACGTGCACCGTTATCTCACGTTGCCAGCCACAATGTACTTGGAGCTCTGGAAGCGGAAGCAGTCCATCATCGCATGGGAATGGGATCTGGACGGTTTCGAGGAGGAGGAGGATGCTAGACCGGAATTTGAAGCCAAGGTCTCTCAGGATTTTCCTTTCTTTCTGATTCGCCGTTCAGTTCCACTAGTAATTTCCAAAAAGGCTCATCAAAGCTCTTTCATCTTTTTATTTTTAAATCCTTGTAATGTTGAGTTTCGTTGTTTGCGTCAGTTCATCATTTAAGTTAATATTTGGCTTGTCATAATTTATTTTGTTTTTTTTTTTTCTGGCTACCGGAGAATGTGAAGGGTGGTCACTTAATAAGGTCCTCCACTCAATTTTCTTTTCTCCAGCGTTTGTGGAATCCATATGAATACCCTTAAAACAAGAAATGTGTGCTTGGGAGAAAGGGTTGGAGATAGTGCAAATCTAATGGCTCATTTTTAGGAGTGGTAATTGTCAAATTTACTATGATAACGATTAGCCCAATTGCCACGAGCTGATTTCAGTCGATTTAAATCAAATTCGCACCTGCATTTGGAAGGAAATGACTTCAAGTGACATTTGGACAGGCGAAGAGTACTCGATTGAACCCGGTGACTATGCAATATGAGCCCTATCTCACGCGCCTCGAGAAATTATTGCGACTCTTCACCGTCTCCTCGTTCGTCTTTTTTCTGGTGAGGCCATTCCCTCATTTACTTGTTAACAAGTTTTCTGTCTTTGACAGCCGAATGAATGTGTTCCGAACAGCTGTTCCTGGTGATCGGGGCCGTGTTCGGGGTGATAGTGTACCGTATTACCATAATCGCCGTCCTCAATTCGAGCACCGTGGATATGTTCAAGACGAACGCCAAGCTTGTTGCCTCTCTCACGGCTGCTGTCATGAGTTTATTCGTCATTGAGATCCTCAACTGGGTCAGTGCCCTCTTAGTTTTCGCCAGGCTAGCTCTCGTGTTTGTATTCCTTGTGTGAAGCACTGACGCAATAGCCCCATTGTCTGAACGCCATCAGATGTCTCACTGTCGGTTTTCAGAATCACTGTCGGTTTTCAGTGCACATGCAAGTTTCGATATTATGATACGTAAATTTCAGAAATGTCAGGCGTTCATTAAGTATCTTCATCTCGCGATTAAAGCACAGATTGCTTAATTGCGAAGGGTTTGACTCATACATGCTTCAATTGCCTTGCACAGTTCTTACAACTGCTCATTTGACTTATTTGCATATTGTTCTTCCAAAGATTTAATGGAGCTTTATTCTCTGGAGCTCCATTACAAATCATGGACCACATCAATAAGTACAGTTCAAAGTAAATCACAGGTAGTATTCATGATAGCCATTCCAAGATGCCAGAAGCGCTAGCTTGGTTTCATAGCTATTCACATTGAGTTTGCTATTAAACAACAATCCATACGAAACAAGAAGAAAAGAGAGATTGCGCTGTTTTCTATACGGTTGAGGGTTAACAGTAGCAGCAGCAGCAGCGTATGTGCAGCAGCGCCATCTCGCTAAAAAGGTTTTGGTTTAACAAGTACAGCTTTCTAAGATGCAATTGAAGCCCTTTCCGTTCGAATCTGTTTCTATTTGATTATCATGAAAAATTTCAAAATCTTGTTTTCCCATCAAAACAGTGACCTCCATGTTGTCTGGGAAATAATGCAGAAATGGTACAGTGACCTATAGGACACCCAGTATACCTGTATCAAATGCATTTGTTTGTCAGAACTTGAGAACAGCTTTTCCTTGCCATTTCTCAACCACTTAATCACGGTGTATTTGACATTTAAGGGAATCAACATATTTATATTACCTCATGTTTATTTGTGGTTTTATTGAATGTTGTACTTCCTTCTGGTTTAAATAATAAAAAAATCATTCTCTGACATCAATTACTTTCTTCTTTGGTCTGATTTTCAATGTTTTCGTTCTACAGTTGTATATGAAAGTAGCAGAATACCTCACAAACATGGAATTGCCTCGGACACAAACGGAATTTGAGAACTCCTACACGTTCAAGATGTTCCTGTTTGAGTTCATCAATTTCTACTCTTCTCTATTCTATATAGCATTCTTCAAGGCAAGACCGGGATTCCTCGACTCATCCATTCCCAGAAAATTTTAAAATGGTTATCACTGTAGATTCCTTACAGGGTCGATTCTTTGGGTATCCGGGGAACACAGGCGCACGCAAGTCCTTCAGCTACGACCTCTGTGACCCAGCCGGATGCCTCTTCGAGCTGTGCATCCAGCTCTGTATCATCATGGTTGGGAAGCAGGCTCTCAACAACTTTCAGGAATTGGCTCTCCCGTGAGATACCCATCACTTCAACTTGTTTTCCCAAAGAATGAAAGGAAAGGGAGTTGATTGGATTTTTGGCAATAGGACAATAGACTCCATTTCAAATCGAGTTAAGGTTCAGCTTTTTGAAATGAAGAAATTGTTTAAGTTCGAAAATTTTATAAACAGTTTCAAAATCAGTTTCGATGATGGTCTCTAGCAGGAAGGGTGGAGAGAACCCATAAGGTATATCCAGCACCTCATGAGTTAGGAAATCGCTCAAACCTCCGCTCCCTAGAGTGAGTGGAGCAGAGGAGTATAATGGATGCTGGATGGGTGCCTCACTCAACTCGCTAAGCTCAAAAGATAAATTAGGAGGGTGGTGGATATTGATTACACGTCTTTTGCAGGCAAATTGGTTATTAGAATGCAGTACAAATATTTTTTGTGGAGGGTGAGGGGGGATTGCCTTTCATTTAGAGAAAAGCTTAGGAGGCTCTAAATTTGCAGTCTTCTTGGTTACACTAACAATCTTTCTAGCTTTACATGTTATAATGCTTTCCAGCTTGCTTCGAATATCTCTGGATCTGCTACTTATTTTGTTGTTATGATGGATTCAACACAACTTCCTAAATTTTGTGGAGGGGAAAGAGCAAGGTCAGGAAACACGAGCATTTCGCTCACCAGTGTCTTAAAATATTTATTCTCAGTATGAGAATAATATTATGAAACACCCTCTGCTGAAATTGACAGAATGTCTTCTTCAAAAAGGACGGTGATAAATTGGTGGCGTCGTCGGATGTGGAGCTCAAGAGCAACTGCAGAAGACCGGGCACAGAAGGTGAAGGAAGAGTTGGCTCCTCGATGGGAGCAAGACTATACACTCTCTCCTGTCTCCCAAATGGCCCTCTTCGAGGAATACCTTGAGATGGGTGAGCTTCACGAAATGCTTCACTTCCTGTAGCGTTCGCCATGAGCATTATATTGAGTCTGCTGGGACTTTGCAGTCATCCAGTTCGGGTTTGTGACTCTGTTTGTGGCGGCATTCCCGCTGGCTCCATTGTTTGCCCTACTCAACAACATTGTGGAGCTTCGGCTGGATGCATATAACTTCGTGTGCCAGGTGAGGCGTCCCCTGCCCAAGCGTGCCCAGGACATCGGTGCCTGGTTTGGCATCCTGAAGGCCGTCACCTACATGGCTGTTGTTTGTAATGTGAGTCTGCTTCGCTCTTCTTCTCATCATCTGTTTCTCCATTTGGATTAAGATTCTTCAGTGAGCAAATGGAGAGAACCTTAATTTAGATTCTTTCTTGGCGGAAACTTCGTCAATAGCAATTGACTGTGTACTGAAAAACGCTTAGAGTATTGTAGGTTTAAGATTTATCGATTTTTTAAACATGACGGTATACTTTTAGGATCTATATTTATATGGGTAAGAATTTGGCAAGTGTAAAAAGATCTCCGCTCTGAAAGTTGCACCGGGAATTACCGTACAGGGTATCCTGAAATCCTTGTTCTCATGTCGAAGGGCCTTTGATTTTCTGTTCTGACCACTCATCCACTGACTGGCTGGAGTACTGTAGGCTTTGATTTGTTAATAACATTTCTGTATTGTTTAAAATAAAAAAATAATAATAATGAGAGTGATTAACTTTTACGTAGTTTGAGAAAACCCTGAGATGTAACATGAAATGGATTACTTTTCTCAAGATCCTCATAGGGGGTGTCCTTGAGACTACGTTCAGTCGAACTCTTCTTCCTGAATCCTGAAAGAGATGTCTGTAAAAGCACTTTATTCGGAGAGGGGCTTTCCCGAAAATTTTTTCTGGTACTCCCCCTTCTCGCCCAAAAAAGGATTTTCCTTGAAATCAGCACCATGACAAGAGCTACTTCAGTTTTCCATCCCGCCTGGAACATAACTTACTTAGAATTAGCATTAGTCTGGCAGTGTGTCACTCGTGTTCGTCTAAATACGGTATATCAGATGGAATGGTCCAACAACCTCAATACATTGTCAATGCTGCAAGTTGCCACTTAAAATAAATTATTCTCAATATTCCAAATCAGTGATATTCATTTTGCTACTCATCAATCAAATATCCAGTGAAGTGATGCAATTTGAGTGGCAGTCCTAAAGCTGATAACAGGAAGAAAACTATTACAGTCGACCGTCTATATAACGAACGCGATGGGACGAGCTGGAAAAAATCATTATAGGGAATTTCCCTAATTTCACTGAAAAATAGAGATTTGTTAAACTGATATCAATATCGCTTCAAAATGTCAATTAGTGTTTTAAAAAAAGTTGTTGTCCATACATAAAAAAGTGCGGAGGTCTAAACCTAAACCCATGCAATGTTGCAAAAATCCATCTCTCAAGAGTAATGTACTGTATTGTATATGCCTAAATGTGTACATAAATTATGTGTAATAAAAATCGGACTAGTCAGGAACGCTCTCTATTCATCAGAAACAAAATTCCAAATGTTTCTCTGGTGCGCTCCTTCCTGGACATTTGAGCCCGTGGTCTGCAGAGCCTTCAATGCTTGAGAAGTTTCAGGCTCACCATTCAACCTCTGACTGAAAAATCGCCGAAGACAGTCGAAGGCTTACCTGATGGTTTACCTGACCGAGAAGAATTTTGGACTCTGCCTGGCTCTGATCCTTATCGCGATGTCCCTCTTGCCTCCTTTGCGAAAAGCAAAAATGACTTTCCATTTCTCCTCGGAGAGAGCTTTTGGTTTCCCCATCTTACTCAATAAGAGGATTAAGACTAACTGACAGGTCTCCCTTTCTCCTCACGGCCACCCTCATAAGGGGGTGGAACATGCTAAATTTAGATACAATATTACATTTTTTCAGGAATGCGCAAAAGAAAGTACAGGTAGCTCTGAAGTGCAATGTAAATTTAAACTTCGTACTACGGAACAGTTTCGTTCCTTTGGACGAAAAAAATGAGTTCGTAAAACGGAACAATTCGTTATGTAGAACTTCGTTATTGAGAAACTTTTCAACATGCAGGTGAATGGACAAACGGCCGGGAACTGGAAAATAACTCAAAGTAAAGAAAATTCGTTATATAGAGCGTCAATTTACTCAACTGTCAAGAACCAGTTGGCATGCAGATTCTGCTGGAAGCTGGTTGCCTAATGGGTTTGACATGAATTAGCATGAAGAGCCTTTACTATCCCGGGAATCTGACTTCCTTACTAGAACACGTAGTAAAATGGCAGCAACTTCCGATATTAACATGTATCCTTTCGTAAATGTTGTTACCCTGATTAATCATGATTGTGATCATAAGTGGAGTGTTTTCTCATTTCAGGCATTTGTGATTGCATACACAACAGACTTCATTCCCCGTATGGTATATGAATATGGCTATTCTTCGGACGAAACCCTCCGTGGCTACATTAATGCCTCTCTCTCAGGTGAGACCATACCCCACTCAACAACTCAAAGTCACACGAAAACCACTAACAGATTACGTTGATACATATTTCAGTATTCGACACCACGAATCCCAACTTCACTGAGGAGTTCCTGGCCGAGGAAGACAGAAACGAGTCAACGACATGTCGCTACCCTGGATACCGCAACCCCCCCAATGACCCAGATGGCGCTTATGAGCCCTCGCTGATGTACTGGCACATCTTTGCAGCTCGACTCGTCTTCGTAGTCATTTTTGAGGTTTGCATCATTTATTCATTAAATGACATGGTTTAATGGGAAATCTGTTTGTCATGTTTGACCCCACAAACAGATACTCACACATGCAAATGTTATTTAATCACCTCTTGCTTTCTTGTAGAAGTGTCACCTAGTCTCTGCAATTTTTGTCAAGCAAAAGTTCGAGTTCTCACAAATTGGAAGAATGTTCCAAATGTGCATGTGAATAACAATACTACGAACCCAATATAGAATTGTTTATGCTGGCTTGTGTACGGCACGCTAGACCTTGTGCTGAAAATGTTTTCGGCATAGTTTCCAATTTTACATTGCAGCATATGGTGTTCGCCCTGACGGGGATCCTGGCCTCCATCGTCCCCGACGTCCCGGAGGCAGTGAAAGTGCAAATGCAGCGAGAGAGGTTCCTCGCCCGACAGGTACGCTCCTTCCATCCCGCCTTCGCCGGTCGTGGAGGCGCTGCTGGCAGCATTCATGGTGCCACAGATTTTCCACTTGGAATCCCTTTAAATTTACATTTGTTTCCTGGGATCATAATTTGAATCAAGAAATTGCATGAAGTAAAAAAATGTTTTCTTGCAATTTGATATTACTACGGAAATCACATTAGGAAACATTGATCGACCAAAATGAGGTAATTAAAATGTTATTTAACCGAAGCTAAAAATCTGCCCTTTACAATAAAGTTTTCTATATAATGAATAGGTACAATTTTCATAGACTACCCTTGTTTTTTTTTTCAAAAGTCGAGTTAACGTAGATCATCAGAAAGGTACAATTGTTTATTCATCTCTGCTCTCAGAAAGTGCTATCATCTTTTGCAAGAGTTCACATTTCTCTGCATTTCTTCCTGCACCATAGAAAGAATTTTACTTTATTTTTAAAGACTAGGAATGGACGAGGGGCAAAGGAATCGGGCCTTCGTTCTCTTGTAAAGGAACAAAGGCATAGAAGCAGGCATTCCATTTTTACATAGTTACGGACTAAATACTAAATGCAGACAGTCTGGGCAATTCGGAATGAAAAATATTAGATTTCAAATGTACTATATTTTGCTCATGCACACACCCACACAAGCTTACATCTCATTTTTTCTTAGAGCTGAAAAATGCCAGAAATTTCCGAAAAACATCCCTGAGAGTTGGAATTTGTTCCAGACTCTAGAAATTGTAAGTAATAATTGTAGTTCCAACTGGTAAAATTTGTATAGCTTTTTGAGAGAAATCAGAACCCGATTCAGGGTTAAGTTCTCCTATCACATATTTATTTACGTTATGAGTAAATGGTTTCGGGAAATACTTCCAAGACCCTACCCATGCCCCATGTCTGGTCCGTAGAATGCTGGTTGAAGTTAGTCCCTCGAATGTAAGTTGTACTTTTGACAGTGCCCTACGAAAACCCCTTTATACTTGCAATTGACCATTTTTCGATTCCTAGTTAAGCTGAAGCAGACCAGCGACATCGCATGGAAACGAAATCACCAAGATTTTCTTGCTATGGTGCATCAATGCACCGCGTACCTCATAGGCTTAAAGATTGGTTAAAGTTGGAAATAACGACCGAGTAAAAAGTTTTGGGCGAAAAATCACCTCCTCACTGATCAGGAAAAAGTTGTGCTCTTCTGGGTGAGCTGCTGCATGGTTCACTGCCTCTGTTTCAACTATTCACTTAATACATGATAATTTCTAAGCACTATACCTTTTATTCCTTCCCGTTCACCTCAACGGAGGAATTGTCTCGCTTAGGCCCTGTTCGACACGGAGAAGAAGAAGATCCAGGCGGAGAAGAAGGAGAAGAACATGGGGATGCCCCCACCGGGCGGATCCTCCCCCCTGTCGACGCGGTCCCCGCGCTCCGTCTCGCCCATCCTCGTCCCTCCCGAGGAGGTGGACAAGCCCTCTCCCTCCTCGCTGCATCCGCCGCGATTCTGACGCCTTCAGTCCGACCCGAGGCAGTTGAACTGGTCGAACCCTGGTTGAACGATGGCAGGGCTCGCGATGGTGATGTGCCTTTCTTGGAGAGGTCTGATCATTCAGGAATTTCTGGAAAACATTCCAGAAAAGTGAGACCACGTGGAATAATTTTAACTTTTGCCTTCAAGACCTACTTTTCTCAGAAAAAAAGCAGATGCTGTGATACCAAACGAGCAGAAAGACCGAACAGCCCAGCGCAAGTGTTAAGACGACATTGCAAAATTACAAAATTTAAGAAATTTGGTAGCATTCATCTTTGGATGCAAAATATTCTGTCATATTTGTAACATTTGCAACTTTCCAGAGCGTATCACAACTTGTCAGCTTTCCCATGAACTTTCCCAATTTTTTCTCTCCCGATTTTTTCACCGCACGTCACCTGCTTGTGACCACATTTGCATACATCAAGACTTGTTTCCATACAGAATGGAATCTCATAGTCACTTCTTTTCATATATTTATTTATGAATAATTCTTCACTCAAACGTGCACGCGAATGATCCGAAGTTCCAATTCAGCCGCAGCAGAGAGCTTTGTCTTTATTATGTACTCATATCTCGCATATCTAGAATATTTTGGTGTCTTCATGTATCCTCGTCTCGATGTTGAACGGTGCTCAACCTCTTGTCTGATCGATAATTGCCGAGTATACTCTGCGTTTTTTGACGAGTTTGAACAACTTTCGAGCAGCAGCATTCTCATCAGTTCCGGTCTTGCGTTCATTTCATATCGGTAACACGCAAATTAGGGATGTTCATTGTTTTAAGTTGAGTTTGAATAATCTGAAGCTTCTTTATCGTATACCGTATTGCTTCCATTATACTGTATTGCCGTATGTGTTTTGAAACGGGCCTTGGTACCAAGATTGGTGCCGCGACCACTAGATGCCTCTACATGACACACTGTGATCCATGCAATGACAGTGATGCCAAAACTTGATAGTCACTTTTGAGATTTGTGTTTCTCGGGGAGCATTCGACGATTTCGAGCAGAACGGAAGAACGGGGATCCAAGCCCCATCGGCAATTCCCGAATGGTTGAGGTGATCCATGCATGCGTTAATTCTAGACGTGACATGAATACAAAATACGAATACAAAAAGATATTACGAGATGTCAGAGTTCAGATTTAAGATTACTCGGTGATCTTTCCAAATAGGCACCAGGGCCTGACCTCTAAAAGGACGAATAAGAATGTATTTATAAAGCGCTGATGTGGTAAGGGAAAGGGAGTTCGTTGACATTAGTGATAAGGCGGGGAGATTGTATAGCAATAACAATAGTTTAGAGAGAGTTTATTTTTGGCCAAAATTTATTGGATGTCGTTATGTAACTTTCCCTCGATCCTATTTTCCCTCCGGAATTATTATCGTGTCATAGCAATTGTGTCATGCCGTCTGTAATTCCCCACTGCCTCGAGAATAAAGTCGTATTTTCTCTGTCATCCATGAAATGCCCCTCAGAATGCATCCAGGAACTTGTGGATTTAATGGGAAGATGCAAAAGTCAGACGCGATTTCGTTGCCGTTGACGAAGTTGCACCTGGGCTTCCGTCTCGTAACAAGTCAATCAAATCCTCAAGGTAATTTATGTCGAAGGACATAGCAAAGGTGCAGCTTTTACAGTGTTGTGCAAATGAATTCGCTCCACCGTTAATATTGCGCATGGCAACCCGATGGAACATCCAATGCGGTGGCAAAGGAGGTCCACGAGGTACCAGGTAATCAGGTACCAGGTAATCAGGTACCAGGTAATCAGGTACCAGGTAATCAGGTACCAGGTAATCAGGTACCAGGTAATCAGGTACCAGGTAATCAGGTACCAGGTAATCAGGTACCAGGTATTCAGGTACCAGGTAATCAGGTACCAGGTATTCAGGTACCAGTACCAGGATCGGCAGTCATGCACTCTTGTGCCCCGAGGTCTGGAGACTTGACTTACTTCAAGTCTGTGTTGGGCTGTGTATTTGAAGATAGCTGAGGCCGTCGACGTCCCTGATTTCATTTCGATTTTTCATATTCAGCAGGATCCCTAACAATCGATGGAATACGCGACCGAAAACCTGAGACATTGTTCTATAGTTATCCTTCCTTGCATTTGGCTTCTTCCTCCCTTCCACGAATCGATCCACGATCGTTTCTCTTAATATTTCACCGGTGCGATTTGCCATTCCACGTCTTCCTGGAACTTCTTGTAAACCCTTTGTATTTCCAGCTCATCATTTTCCTCGCGAAAGGCAAATATAATTTCTTTTATTCTCAATTCTTGGCCTCAAAATTCTCCAATCCACTGTAGTTGACTCTACGTAAGTTAGATGTCGCCTAGGCGCCGCCCTCCTCGTTGGGAGGATTCCTCCGTAGAAAAACATTGGCCCCATGTTAAAGATGGCACGAATTCATTTGCAAAACACTGTAGACCGGACTCATGCAACAACCGCCGCGCGAGAAAAAAAAAACGACGCCAGCCCTATGGACCCAAAATCCCTGTCACAGCGCGAGCAGCAGTCACCCAGTCCCCCAAGAGCGCGGAACTCGATGGCTCGCGGCCCTGGCGCTCCAGAGGCAGTGCACTATTGCGAGCAACGAGTGACTGGTCTTTGGGTCATGCGACGATGCACGAGTACTATGTCCAGGACTGGATCTCTGGGGCTTTTATACTTGGGGAGACGACTGTTAGTGACGTTATTTGGACGGAAACGGGCTTCACGTGATGAGTGGACGACGGGGTGAAGAGAAAAATCGCCGGCCTCGCAGAAAGGGGATTCAACGATCCTGGTCGCAATTAAATCTTTTACAACTTTCTACGATCCGGGATATCCTAATAATAATAGATACTTACATTGTGGGGCGTTACAATCAATCAAGTGGCCTTTTCCTTCGACCCACATTTTCCATTCGTATTTGATCGGTTTCCTTCTTCCCTTCGCTCCACGGCCGTGGTCGTGTGTGAAAGGCGAGCTTGTCTGGGTCGTGTATATTGTTTCTTTCCCGACGCACACGCTGCTCCCATCCCAGACTCGGTTTTAATCAGTGTCAGGGGACCATGGCTGTAAATAGTGTGCGTGACTGAAGAGAGGAAAAAAAAAAACATAAAACATAATAAAGACGTGATGGGGAACCTTCCCCTCCTCCGACACGTCCTTGACCGTCGGGGGCAGTGGCCGTAATGACGTGGGAGGGTGACGGAGGAAGGGAACCGACGCAATCGAGGCTTCGTGATGACGTTTGGCATTAATGATTCTTCCAATCGTTAACAATTCTTTCTCAAGTCATCTTATCGCAGTCGGATCATGCACAAATGAATTCCCAATCGGAAATTCGTTTCATAAGTTGCACGGATGAGATCGTTCCAGGTCAACACCCGATGATTCGATGACAATCGAGTGGCGCGAACAGGACGTGAGGTCCAAATGTTTTGCTCTCTCCTCTTCCTTCGCGCTGATGTTTTTCTCGGCTGGAGAGGAGAACTCGATCGCCTGGAGTTGTCTTGCCTCCTCCGATGTTCGGCTTCGTTAGGTGTCGTGTCGCGGCAGAGCTGGAGTTCCACCGGATGCGACAGGTGGTATTCTACACGATGGTGGCGATTTCTTTTTCTTCATACGGGAAAGCAGGTGTTCCCGTATGTGTGTCGAAGGCCGATACGTGGAGCGGCGTCATGAGTGGAGCCTTTGGGGGCGTAGGTGGATCAGGCCGACAATAGGTGGGACAGGCCGACAGTAGGTGGGACAGGCCGACAGTAGGTGGGACAGGCCGACAGTAGGTGGGACAGGCCGACAGTAGGTGGGACAGGCCGACAGTAGGTGGGACAGGCCGACAGTAGGTGGATGTCATGTATTGAATAGAGAAAGATCCCTAGTCAACACCTGACTGTGGGATTATTAGGTAAACTCGAGTTCGGCACAGCAAATTCAGGAAAGAGAATCCAACATTTCAAAATAAATACACATTTATATTAATATCCAAAATTTCAAAAGGAAAAGGATGATGAAATAAAATAACGGAGGGACAAAAGACAACACCAGGGACACAGGAAAACCGTCTCACAGACACATCTCTAACTTGATCCCCGCCCCGCCCCTAAAGCTGCTCCTCTCTCCTCGCTCCTGCTCCGATCTCTCTCTCTCTCTCTCTCTATCTCTGTCTCGCTCGACTTCGACTCCCCCTTTTCTACCCCGGTTCTTCCCGGATGGAACCGATAAGGTTTTTCCGTTCCAGATTATTAGTCACGGTGTCTTCGCCCTTGGACATTATCGGTCCAAACAGGAGGGTGGTCAGGATATCTGTTCCCGGAAGAGAGATGTTTTTATCTCTCTATTACATCCTGCCTCTTGTATCAGGTTCCTGGGTCCGACCTTCTCGACGAGCTTTTCAATTTGCTTCGTGGAACAGGGTTTCCGGATGGGTTTCACAGGCCCGACACGTGATCGACCCCAGTTCCTCATTCGGGATGGACCATTGTCACCACAGTAAAACGCCATCCCGGGCTGCTACAAAAGACCCCTCTGTCTCTGAGCGTTTCATAACGACCTCAGACGACCTCAGACGACCTCAGCCACGGGACAGCCCCAGACACAGCCCACCGGTACGAATCGCCTCGAAGTACTTCACCGCGTGCCAACCGACGAGTTTCGACCAAAGACATTCGCCCCTGTTACTTCCCGGAAGTTCCTTCGCGCAACGGCCCGCGCATCCGTAGAATCAGGCCGAGGCCGGAGGAAGAAAGAGGAGAACTCCAAACAATCTACGCGTGGAGATGAACCCAAACAAGAGCCGAGAATCAGAACTCGATCGTGGGACTGGAGTTATCAGTCCCTCCAATCGAGTCCAATCTCCAAAACCCATTCTCCAATCCAGTTCAAGCTTCCAGTTTGAAGATCTCTCCCTCCATCTCTCCCTCGATTCCTCGGGCAGTACCGATTTGACCGGGGTGCTCGGGCCCCTTTTCATCGCTGGTGCTCTAAGACCGGCCACCTTTCTCTCTCAACGACACGCAGAGGAACAACACTGTAGTTAAAGGAACTTTTCGTCGACGTGAGTTTTTCCACAACTTGTAGGGCTTTATCTGGAAACGAGTACAAGCCCTCTGTAATTCGTAGATACCGTAGAGGGGTCGGACAGGTAGTTTCGGTTGTGTATTGACATTTGTGAGAACAGAAGCCAGGATTTTGTATTCTTTCATTCGTTTTACAATTTGGAGAGTGGTTAGTGTCAGTTTCGGCAACATTTCTTTTGCCATTTTTTTTCATTTCTGGAAATGCATTTTTATTTTTATTTTCATGAATTACGTGTTAATCACACCCGCTCGAACTTGAATCGGCACGGACCTGATTCCCTGAAGAGGAATACATTGTAGTGGAATCGGGCCGCGTCGAAATTGTCGTTAAAGTCAAAGCTCTAATTTAATTTAATTAATACTTCACCATTTCCATAAATCCACTGCGCCCCGTGCCCATCCCAGTACTCCAGTGCTTCCCGCAGGAGACGGCCAGGAGCCGCGAAACCTCATCGCGATCGCCGCTGGCTCGGGCCTTAACGACCTCGAACGTTCGTCGCGGTCCGCAAGGGATCTTGCCGCTCGCTCTGCAGTTTGAAGTAGGAACGCTCCTCCACCCACGCGCTCGTGGACGATCGCAGGGCTTAGGAGGGGGTCGTCGCCGTTTTTAAGCGGTCGAACAGCAGTTCCGATGGTCGCACGGTCGTGTTATAAATTCAAGTAACGAATTTCAATATTTCATTACATGACAAATTGGGGAACGTTAGCCTTATGGTTTCCTGTCAGTTACCGATCTTGGGTGTCGCAAAATGCGCTCGGACTCCTTTCCCTTTTTAAAAACTTTTTTTTTTGTTGTTGAACGCTTTGAATATTTTGATTATTATGGTCTAGATTATTTTGGAGTTAAAATACTTCTTGGTGAAATGTATTAATCATTTTGAAATATATTTTCCGATGAAAACATGATCAAAAGAATATTACCTACCCAGCAATGGGATTACCCAGGGTTACTGTAATGCAGGTGGCCGGGAAGGAATAGTTGGATGGCCTAAGAGGACGAAAAAACGGGAAGAGACGGCCGGGAATCGAACCCGGGTCTCCCGATCGTTGGTCAGGTGTGCCACCACTACACCACAGCATTCTTGCATCCGTCTTCCTCTCAATGCCATCCCAGACACTATAGAACAGAACAGGAAAATTGCCCAGAGAGTGAACATAGCCCCTCGACCTTCCCCTGGATGAAAGCGTTGGCATGTAAAGCTTTGTTCCACACGAGAAGACACTTGAGGTGGAGATCGACGGTGGTCCGCCAAACTGCCCCGCCCCCTTCCCCCTCCCTCCCCCGTCCTTTTTCCCCTTTGTAAATCGCAGTGTTAGCGAGTTTAGTATCTTGCTGTGCGCCGGTTCTGGTGGGAGTATCCTTTCTTCATCCCTACTTCATCCCCTCTTCATCCCCTCTTCGTAGTCTCTCCCGTGCTTCGGAACGCCTGGGGGAAGGGAGGAGAGTGTCGAGTGGCGCACCTCGTGTCGACTTCCAGAATCATTGCCGCACATTGCCGAATTCTCTCGTGCGAGTTTGAGACGAGACGTGATGTTTCTACCTAATTCTGCTCCCCCCCCAGGCGTTCCGAAGCACGGGAGAGACTACGAAGAGGGGATGAAGAGGGGATGAAGTAGGGATGAAGAAAGGATACTCCCACCAGAACCGGCGCACAGCAAGATACTAAACTTCCCCCCCCCCCCCCCCCGGCCCGGGAATATCAACTCAAGGACCCCCCCCCCCCCCCCCCCCCCCCTCCTCCGATCGCTGCGGAACGCCGACCGTGCAACTTCGAAAATAATTTAGAATTTAGGATTCCCCAACCGCACGAATGCCGTAGCTCTTCCGACAGCCATCATTAAACGATCTCGGTTCCGTATGCTCCTCAGGTGGGCTCCTCGAGTGGGCTCCTCGCGCCCCTCGACGAGATTCCGGCGACCCACGAAAGTAAATGCCCGGATGAGGAAGAGACCTCCGGAAGAATCCGAGCAGTTCTTCAGGGATCTTCTCAATTCCATGTCGCTGGAGACCCCGAAGCGGATGAAGATCGGGGAGGCCGACCCACCTCCGCCCTCCACCTCCCCCGGTACCTGGCCCGGTACTTCCCAGTGCACCTTTCGTACGCTCGGCGGCGTCGCTAACGGGGTTTCTTGAACCCGGCGGCTTGAAAGGATTTCTGTTCGTACGTTTGCCTTTTGCGTCTTGTTGCATTCGAATACTAACACTTGTTTGATGAAGTTTATTTGGTACCCTTGGAGGAAAAAAATTATTTTCCGTAGAAAGTTTGAGACATTTTGGCGAATGCGGCGAACAATTAAAAAACGGTGCCACGCTGAGAACCTTTTTTTTTTTTAAATATTTCATATCAGTTTCACATCAAGAAAGTTTGCCGTTTGCCCATTCTCAGAAAGTTGGGATCCCCTTCCAATTGGCCCATTCCCTCCCAATCGGTCCCAAAAGTACTACAGTCGATGCTCGATAATAAACAGGAGAAAAAAATATCTCTATATAAAGAAAATTAGCTGATCTTAAATTTGCAATTCGAAATTTTTTTTCCTTCCCTTTGGACAAAAAGAAAATTATTTGTAAAATCCGAACGTGCATAAAATTTCAGCATGCATGTGAATGGACATAGTGCTAGGAACTTAAAAAGAATTGGTAAAACAAAAAGTAAAGTAATAAAATAATAATGATCGCATGTAGGGGCAAGGTCGGTCGTCTGAAATAAACGCGAAAATTCGGTTTCTAAAACTTTCAGGAGAGCTAGAAATCACCTTTTTTAAAACTCAGGAATGGTCTTTGAGGAGGGTTTCGCCGTGCATGCTTCCACTAGGAAGCTGAGAGTCCTTCCTAGTGGGTGGAGCTTCCTAGTGGAGATGTGAACTTTCCTCATTATCATCTCGAGTGCGAAGAAAAGGTAAAATCTGTTTCTTGGAAATAAATGCATGATGGCCTTTTTTGTCAGATGTTTGACATGATCAGATATGATTTTGAGGGGTTCAGAAGAGTTAAGCCAGCCATTGAGTACGTTTCACCTCGCTTCCAACTCTCATCCCTCGATCCTTCAGGAATCTAAACGCGAAGGCACCGATAGAAAATGGAACTAACCAAAAATCATATTGGCTTCGAGTCTGAATCTGCAAAAAAATCGTGTGGAATCGCTGTTAGAATTGGAGGGGGCGCAGGACCATCGGCTGGAAGGGATCCAGGCGCAAGGAGGACGCACCCGCCTCTCCACCCACAGGGAGAGCCTGACCGCCATGCTCAACCACGAGGGATATCCCGTGGGGGATGGGGGAGGGACCCCGGCGCTCCAGATGGAGGCGCTGGAGTCGGTGATGAGGATCAGCATGTCCGAGGACTCGCAGCAGGTGGGAAAGCCGCCGCGAAATTTTCCCTCGAAGCGGTTTTTTTCCCTGGATTATTTTCAAGGCTTGAAAATATATTCTCGTGCAGCAGGCGAGGTACATGGACTCCAGGTACTTCCGGGACGGCCTGCGCCAGATCGACTTCGTCATCGCATACGCCGACGACGGGAGCGAAGAAGAAGAGGAAGTAAAGAAGAGGGCGAAACGGGAGAGCTTCGAGACCAATCTCATGGAAGTGGGGCTCGAATTAGAGCTCGAAGACAAAAAGGTCGGTTCTATTTCTGGACGGTGGCAAATATGTCGGCCGAAGAAAATGCGCCCTTTCCCCGTTAACATTTTCCAGTCTCATTTATTCATTTCTTCCCCCTTTTCCGCATGAAAGTCCTCAAACAATGACGGCGCGAACACCCGCCCCTCAAGCCTCCTCCAATCTGAACAGAAAAGCGCCCCGACGATCCCAGCCCCATCCGCCGAGCCGGGCGATTCTCTCCGTCCCAGACCCGAAGGCCTGCATCTCCTTGTTTCTTTTCTTAATCCTGCACAAATATACGAGCCGTTCGGTATTTTCCTGTACAAATAAACAAGGCTAGGCAATCGGGTGGCCCCGAAACAACGAAAGAAGTTGGTCTGGAATGTGCACCTGCCTCCGGGAGTTTAATGATCATCGCAGTCCACTTTTCACCACGACACAATTACTTGTTTTTATTTTCTCGACCATCGCCTCCCTTAACTTAATGCAAGAGACTTCGTTCACTCGCAGGCCTCATTCCTCTGAGCACGAATAAGGGATAGAGCTAAAATCGATTATTTTTTCGACATCAAAACTGGAACACGGAAAGCGAAACTGAATTTGACCGAATGAAACTTTCGTCACCGATCCAGGAGGACGTGGAGACGTATTTCCTGAAGGTGCACGCTCCCTCGTCGGTCCTCACCCGGTATTCCGAGATCCTCAACATGCGGACGTGCATCAAGGTCGGTCTTTTCGGCTCTCCTCTTCGGATTTACGTGGGCTTGAGCGATCGGATTTGAATTACGCGGTTTTCCGATGGGTCGGATCTTGAATGCATTCTGTCTTGTTCGTTCATAAAACCTTATTCAGATTTTGTGGAAATCGAATTAAGGGAAATAAGCCTGGATTTGAGACGTGAGTGTGGGTGAAGTTGCTCAAGTTGTTTCTCCCGAGTCACTGGGACTTCCGGGTGATGAGTCACAGGATCGGGTATGCAACAGACTCGTTTCTTTTTTTGTGCGGAAATCCCCGGGAAATTAATTCGTTTTAATCGAAGTTACATTTTTTAAGTTTTCGTCTCGATTTGACTCGCGATTCGGAAAGACAGAAACTTTCGTGACCCGTGCTGAACCCTGTGACGTCACTCGAAATTCCCACGGACTACATTTTAGCGAGATGAAGAAGCAGCACTTAGATTGTACCGATTTTCAACTCCATTGTATCGACTCTGGAATCAAGTTCCATTTGTAAGATGCAAGGGGGGGATGTAAACCGAGAAAGATATAATCTCCATGCATTCCAATTCGAGATGGATTGTAGCGCCTCTGATGTACAATTACTGTCGCCTAGCAAATGCGGTTTGTCGATTCCTGGTATGCAGAACCTGCTCCACGTGCGGCTTGATCCCATGGTGAGATCATTTCGAATAAGGATCGATTGCATAAAGAGAAGTCGATTGTGGAGGTTTTTGTCCTGAATGGCCCGCAGAGAAATTACGACTTGTGGTGTTGAGTGGAGTGGTTCTTGGAGTGCTTTATTCTCTTTCTATCAGCTGCTCTTTCCCCCCCTCCTCTCTCTCTGCACGATTCCTTCTCCTCGAAAACTCTTGTGTTTGCATCTGTGGAGAGCTTTGTAGTGCTTACCAGCCGAGAGTGGGTGAGTCCTTCCCTTCTCAATCCTGCTTTTCCACTGACGCCTCGCTTATACCATAATCGACTGATGCTACTAGTAGTGAGGAATAAGAAGTACAATAAACAAGAGTTTGTATTTCCCAAGGCCGAGGAACAAGAGCGGCGAAAGAAGTCGTTCTACCGCAGGCTCACGACACCCTTCGATTACGATCACTCCCTCATCTCCAGCGCACCGGAGAACTTCTCGACTGGGTTTCAGAGCAGCAAGGAGGACCAGTGAGTGTTCAACGAGTCGTGTCCGACGTTGAATTTGTCGATTCATTGCAGGAAGCTAGTTCGACTCCAATCCGAGCGAGCCCAGTCCTGTCGTGGTCTCCCTCTTTCCCCGAGGAGAGGCTTCGTTTCATCACCTCACTGAAGAAAACACAATCACGTACTAATCAGGTCTCGTTCAGGTTTGGGTGGAAGACTGAGGGCAGTGCAGGCAAAGGAGTAAACCAACGATCTTGTGCGACATGCACCCCTCTAACCTCCAATACAAATGTGTGCATTTGCAAATTGAATGCGCAACTCGAGAAATTAGCTTAGAAATTAGCCTAGTTTCGAGTACAATCTTCATCAGCAGCATGTGAAATGTTCCTAGCCTGTTTGCCTGCCAATTTTACATTGATCGAGGGAACTTTTTTGAGTTGGCATTTGCCAAGCAATCAGTAGCTCGCATGGTCCCGTTCCTTATTGAAAAGAAAGCCCATTTATAAGGGTCGTAAACTATGCCGCGTTTCTTCCTTGAACACTATCCCCCTTCGGTTTAGAAGCACCGATGTCAACAACTATGGCGGTCAATATAGGGTGAGTTAAAAGTTTTGCCCAACTTTTGATCGTGAAGGAGAAATCGGATTGCAATGCGAAATATCCCAAAACATATCGACCAAGAGGAAAATGGCACTTAATTAGATCGATATGTCGCCATTTTTCCCCTAAGTTATGCAGTCTGTCCGTAGTTCCCATAGTAACCAGAGAACTGGACCCAATGCGCATGTGCAACCTTCAGCCCGGGTCGCGGTGTCACCGACCTTAACCGCCAGTTCCCTTCCAGCCTTTCAAGCCGATGGATCCATTGTTGACAAAGGGAAGAGAGAGCCGCTGCTCGTGGCAACACGGATAAGGTTGCTGGGCCGGTCTCGTAAAATGCATCCTATCTGGCATCCTACACGCTTTACTCTCCTCTCTCCCTCTCGCTTTACTCCTTCCACTCTCCTTCCGTCTCTACGCGAAGGCGGACGCGCGAACCCTGGAGGAGTTTCTCCGAATTTCCGGGGCTTTTCACGTAGGACTTCGACAATGGCAACTATTATTTTTCAAAAAGCATGAAGCTTCATGAAACCACAGATGAAGGAAACACCGGTGGTATAACTCGTTGAATGGCAGTCCAACGGGTTCTAATTGAATTCACACGGACTCTCAATTTCCGGCTGAGATTTTCTTCGTTAAATTATTCCTTGAATATGCCGAGTTTTCCCCTCGTACCTTTGGCCGAATTCCAAGAAAAGCGGAATATTTTCTGCACGCCTAAGAAAAGTCAGCCGGTTTCTGACGTTCACAAATTCATTTGGATTCGACAAAAGATTACTCAGCGCGCAGCATTTTCTCGGATATGATTGCGTTTATGGAAACAGAATTTACTTGACAGCTCATTAAAAAAGGATGCGTTCCTGGAAATAATACGAAAATGTATCTCTATCCAGAGCATTTTCTTGTCTTTCTGAATGGTCTAAACTGGATCTCTATCCAAATTAGGATTTCTTCGCCAAAATGCAACACTCCCCATATTTCCGTTTTGACCATTTCTACCCTCTTCAGTTGAATACAGTCGGCAGTGGCCGAACCGAAGTGGCTCAGAGAAAAAATTTTTCAATCGGACTTCGATATTTAGCACCAAGAGGACTAACATCACAAAAAAGTAATTAGGTATTATACTCCTGCTTCCTGCTTTCCTCTACTTTTTTGTTCGCCATTTTAGTTGATTCCTTGCTGCTATCTTTTTGTGCCAACTTATATTTCAACATGTCAGAGAAACTGACTTCAGAAAGAAGTCCGTTTGCTCTAGATTTTAATAATTATTGTTTGGTAAAATGGAAAAAGTCTTGTGCGTTCCAGTCCCGAGAGTTGGCTTCCCAGGCATATTACTGGCAGATAGATATTTTATGGTACCATTATTTTTTTTTAAATTTGTTTAGAAGGAACCTCACTGTTTAGAAGGAACCAGAAGTAAATGACAGGTAACTCTTTTTCTTCCGGCGTACGCGAACGAAACGGAGTCGCAATGTTTTGCTGTGCCCACTGCTATTTTTAAGAGCAAAGAAAACCAAAATAATCCCACGTAATTGCAATCGAACAGGTTGATGGACAAGAACCGAGACACGAATTTCTCGAACGCCGAGCGGACCTACATCGTGTACGAGTTGCTGCGCCGCGCTCACTACGCCGACGACGACGAGAAGTTCGGCATCCAGCGACTCATCAGCAATGGGACCTACGAAGCCGGATTCCCCTTGCATGATGGAGGATACGACAGGGAGCCTCCCAAAGGAACGCTCAGCACTAGAAGGGTCAGTTGTGAGATCGAACTCGTTCATATGAATCCCGATTGAGGACTGCAGCCTCCCCACCCCCACACCCGACAACCCTTAGTATTTGCGCCTCTCAGATATTCTTAGTCTAAAAGAGATTAACGGTACGGATGCCGGCTCGTGCCCCTCTGAGGGCTTTCGGCGAAGCCATAGTTATTGTGCAATCTGTGAAACAGACATTCGCGTTATCTTAGGCATGGTCCTCTTGGCCGTTTCAGAAATGCCCAGTCCATCGTAAAATGGAGAGAGCAGACAGGGAAATCCCCTTAAAATAATAAATATCTGGGATTTCATTCCAGTGACAAGAATATGTTTTGTAAGATAAAACTGCTGAGGGAATCCTTCAGACGTAGCACTAACTAGTTTGAACTAGAGAACCAGAAGAAAAACAATATCGGAAATTAACTTAATTATGATGAAATGTCCGACTCATTTCATGTCTATTTTTAGCCCTATAAACGTGAATTTCAAAAAGTAATTTCTTGCATATTTGTAATACGTAGACTTTCGGATGTATCAATTACCTCCCAGGTCAGCATCGAAGTTAGTGCGCAAAATGAAAAAAGCCAGTGTCCAGTAAAAACTAAAATCTTTGTATTTTTGAACACGCGCGTAAAATTCGTCATGATTAAATGAAATCGCTCCATAGCAATTTCATTTTTTCACATAAGCATAATTTAAATAAATAGCGATAGAAGATCCTGCTTTTTTTTTAAACTATATGTTTCATGCGTATGTTATTCAACATTAAGTTTGCATTTGAAAGATGCTAAATTTGCTTTCAGCTGCTGTACCAAGAGTGGGCACGTCCTCTCTGTTGGTACAAGCGCCAGCCGCTGTGGCTGGTCCGCAAGTACTTCGGCGACCAGATCGGTCTCTACTTCACCTGGCTGGGCTTCTACACGAAGATGCTCATCCCGGCAGCCATCGTCGGTGTCATCTGCTTTCTCTTTGGGATCATCAGCCTTCAAGATAATATTCCCAGGTGAGATGCCAGGACGTCCTCGTTCGTCGGCAGTGAGGAAGGGGTTCTGCGACTTGTCGCGTGATTTGTCTTTTGATAGCCGAGACATCTGCGACGAGAATGGGCCTGGGAATTTTACAATGTGTCCGCTGTGCGATAAAGCATGTCGACATTGGAAGCTGAAGGACAGCTGCACCTTCTCCAAATTCACATTCCTTTTTGACAACCCTGCCACTGTATTCTTCTCCATCTTCATGGCGTTCTGGGGTAAGTGCTTCGAGCCTTAGGTTTTTCATGGGTATCGCGTCCAGTCACACATGCACCGTTATCTCACATTGCCAGCCACAATGTTCTTGGAGCTCTGGAAGCGGAAGCAATCCATCGTTGCATGGGAATGGGATCTGGACGGTTTCGAGGAGGAGGAGGATGCTAGACCGGAATATGAAGTCAAGGTCTCTCATCATTTTCCTTTCTTTTTTCATGATCCGCCGTTCTGTTTTAATTCCGATCAGGCTCATCCAAGCACCTTCATTTTTAAACCGTTGTAATTCATCGTTTAAGAATATATTTTGTTTGTCATTATTTATTTCTGGCCAGTGGAGAATGTGAAAGTGTCCATGTGCTCCTCTCTATTTTCATTTTTCAGCATCTCCAGCGTTTCAGGAGTCAATATGAATACGAAGGCATTATCTCATGAATCAATTAGGTCATTATTAAGGCACAATTCCATGTATCTTAAAACAAGACATGTGTGCTTGGGAGAAAGGGTTGATTCGGAAATCTAATGGCAAATCTAATGGCTCATCTATAGGAGGGGTAATTGTCAATTTTATTTTGAGAACAATTTCTCGTATTGCCACGAGCAGCCGATTTGAATCAAATTTTCACCTGCATTTGGAAGGAAATGACTTCAAGTGACATTTGGACAGGTGAAGACTACTCGATTGAACCCAGTGACGGGGCAAGATGAGCCCTATCTCACGCGCCTCCAGAAAGTATTGCGAATCTTCACCGTCTCCTCGTTCGTCCTTTTTCTGGTGAGGCTATACCCTCATTTACTTGTTAATTAGTTTAATTTTCCTTGACAACTCAATGGATGTGTTCCGTCAGCTGTTCCTGGTGATCGGGGCCGTGTTCGGAGTGATAGTGTACCGTATTACCATGATCGCCGTCCTCAATTCGAGCACCGTGGCTGTGTTCAAGGCAAACGCCAAGCTTGTTGCCTCAATTACGACTGCCGTCATGAGTTTATTCGTCATTCAGATCCTCAACTGTGTCAGTGTCCTAGTTTTCGCCAGGCTAGCTCTCGTTTTTGAATCACTTGTCTGGAAGCACTACCACAAATAATCCATTCGCCATCAGATGTCTCACTGTCAGTTTTCAGAATCAGTTATGTGCACGTGCAAATTTAAATGTTTTTCTGCATAAATTTCAGACATTTCAGAAGTTCATTAAGTATCATCATCTCACGATTAGAATCCATAGAGTGTTTTGTTGAGTGGAGTTTGATTCATTCCCTCCTTCACCTGAATTGTAAAGTTTTAAAACTGCTCATTTAGGCCTATTTGCAAATTATTCATCCAACTATTTAATAGATGGTGGAGCTGCACAACAAACCAAGGAACACATCATGAAACATTGCCCAAAGAGACAATTCACAGGCAGTATTAAGTATATCGATTCCATGCCCTTACAAAAAGATCCTATTGGATCCAATGAGATTTTCGAAGCATAAAAATCTAAGAGCATTCTTATAGGATTCTATTTGAATCCTATGAGACATTTGTTGCAAAAATCTTATTGAAATCCTACAGTATTTTTCCTTAAGGGTAACGCCAGAAGCACTAGCCTGGATTTCAAACTTAGACATTGACATTTAATTTGCATACTTGCATTTGCATTTGCATTTGCAAAAAGCAATCCATACGAAAGAAGAGAGGAGAGGTGGTTTTCTACATGGCTACATTAACAGCTAATGTATTAGTATATGTAGTAGCCCTTTCTCTCCAGTAAGGTTTTTGATTAACTATACCTGTATCAAATACTGCATTAATATACTCGTACATTTGTTAGTCAGAACTTGAGAACACCTTTTCCCTATCATTTCCTAGCCACTTAATCACGTGTATTTGACAGTTATAAAGGGAATCAACATGTGTTAAGTACCTCAGGTTTATTTGTGATTTTATTGACAGTTATGATTTTCACGGGTTTCCAACCGAATATCGTTTACTGATGTCAATTACTTTTTCCTTTGCACTGTGTTTCAATATTTTTCACGTTTCACAGTTGTACACGAAAGTTGCAGAATACCTCACTAACTTGGAATTGCCCCGGACACAGACGGAATTTGAGGACTCCTACACGTTCAAGATGTTCCTGTTCGAGTTCATCAATTTCTACTCTTCACTTTTCTATATAGCATTTTTCAAGGCAAGACTAGGATTCCTTGACTCATCCACTCCCAGAAACTTTAAATTTTTGTTATCACTGTAGATTCCTTACAGGGTCGATTCTATGGGTATCCGGGGAACACAGGCGCACGCAAGTCCTTCAGCTACGACCTCTGTGACCCAGCCGGATGCCTCTTCGAGCTGTGCATCCAGCTCTGTATTATCATGGTTGGGAAGCAGGCTCTCAACAACTTTAAGGAATTGGCCCTCCCGTGAGATACTCATCGCTTGAATCTGCTTTCCCAGAGATTGAAAGGAAAGGGAGCTGATTGGATTTTATTGGTAGGACAATAGCCTCCATTGAAAATCGAGTTCACGTGCAGCTTTTTCAGGTGAAGACAATATTCAACAGTTCCAAAATCGGTTTCGATGATGGTATCTAGCAGGACCAATGGAGAGGACTCATAGGTATGTACTGCATATAGTGAGTTAGGAAATCGCTCGCACATCCACCCCCAAGAGTGAGTAGGGCAGAGGAGTATAAAGGATGCTGGATGGGTGCCTCACTCAACACGCTAAGCTCAAAAGATAAATTAGGAGGGTGGTGGATATTGATTACACGGCTTTTGCAGGCAAATTGGTTTTAAGAATACAGTACAGATAATTTTTTTTGTGGAGGGGGATTGCCTTTCATTTAAAGGAAAGCTTTGAAGGCCCCAAATTTGTAGCCTTCTTGGTTAAACTAACAATCTTTCTAGCTTTACATGTTAGTTTTCTAAGGCGTTCCAGCTTGCTTCGAATATCACCGGATCTGGAATTTATCTTGTCGCTATGATGAACATAACTTCCTAGATTTTGTGTAGTGGAAAGGGCAAGATCACGAGCACAAGCATTTCGCTCACCAGTGTCTTCCAGAAAATATTTGTTCTCAGGATGAGGAACATTTTTTTACACCCTCTGCTGAAATTAACAAATGTCTTCCTAAGGACTGTGATGAATTGGTGGCGTCGTCGGATGCGGAGTTCTAGAGCGACTGTGGAAGACCCCGCACCGAATGAGAAGGAAGAGGCTCCTCAATGGGAGCAAGACCATACACTCTCTTCTGTCTCCCAAATGGCCCTCTTCGAGGAATACCTTGAGATGGGTGAGCTTCACGAAATACTTTACTCCCTGTAGCGTTCGCCATGATCATTACATTGGGTCTGCTGGGACTCTGCAGTCATCCAGTTCGGGTTTGTGACTCTGTTTGTGGCGGCATTTCCGCTGGCTCCATTGTTTGCCCTACTCAACAACATTGTGGAGCTTCGGCTGGATGCATATAAATTCGTGTGCCAGGTGAGGCGTCCCCTGCCCAAGCGTGTCCAGGACATCGGTGCCTGGTTTGGCATCCTGAAGGCCGTCACCTATGTGGCTGTTACTTGTAATGTGAGTTTGCTTCGCTCCTCTTCCCATCATCTGTTTTTCCATTTTGGAAAAGATTCTTCAGTGAGCAAATGGAGAGAACCTTAATTTAGATTCATTCTTGACGGAAAATTTGTCAAATCAATTGCTTGTGTACTGAAAAACGCTTACAGTATTGTAGCTTGAAAATTTCTCAATTTAAAAAAAAAAAGACCTTTAGTATCTATATTTTCATGTTTGAGAAGAACTCGGTTCTGAAAGTTGTACCGGGTAAATATACTGAAAACCTTGTTCTCATGTCTAAGTGCTTATGGGTTTCTGTTCTGACCACTCATCTACTGACAGGCTGGGATACTGTAGGTTTTTATTTGTCATTAACATTTCTGGATTGTTGAAATTTTTAAAAATATTTATTTCTGTCAAGATGAGTGAGTGACTGACTGACGCTAATTCTAACCCTGTTCTAAAGAAGTTAGAAATCTGAAACTTGGGATACAAGTAGCTCTTGGGATGGAGAGTTAAGAAAAGTCCAACTTTGGAGGTACATGCACTGGGGGACACACATTTTGGGAGGACATATTTTCAAACAAATATTTTTGCTTCAGTCGAAGGGAGACATCGAAAGCTGAAACTTGTCAAGAACGTGCCTACTGAGACACTGAGTTCAAGAAAAATGTCAAGATACAGATGCATTCCCTGGGGGCATATCTTTTGGGTGGTTTTTTTACTTTTTAAAAGACATGTTCTCACCAGCTAAAAGGGAAAACGTATAATATTGAAACTTTATGGGCATGTAGTTCTCCGAATATTGATTCCAGTAAAAATTTTATTTTTAGATAAAACCCATCAGGGGACCTTTTTTTTTCAAAAAGAGCATTTTCCAGAATCTTTTTTGTGCCTACGTAAAAGAGAGCGATAGAAAGTTGAAACTTGGCGCAGAAGTACCTGATGAATATCTAAGTAAAAAAAAAATTCTACCTTCGAAATATGTCGCCTCAGGGCAGATTATGGGAGGGAAGTACAGGGTGACCCAAAAGTCTCTTACTATTTTTGGGAAGGCGTGGTGATAGAAAGATAAAACGGCGTACATGGGTTCCTATAATGTTCTTGTTAACAAAACGATAAAAAAAATTAAACATCTTTACAGAATACAGCTGTCACTAAGCTTCAGGCAATGTTTCAACACGGCACAGATTCCCATACCATACATTGACCCACTTAACAAAAGAGCTCAGAACAAAACAAAACGTCAAACAGCACAATACAGAAAGAAAGAAACATCACTCCGCTTCCACATGTCCACCATCTAACTTATGGTACTTCTCCCATTTGATGCGTACCTCGCGAAATACTCTGTGGAGCATCATCGGAGTTATGCTGTCCACTGCCCGGTAGATACGATTCGGAAGGTCACGCGGGTCACGAATCGGTGTCTGGTACACTTGTGCCTTTATGTAATCCCATGCGGAAATGTCAAGTGATGTGAGGTTCGGAGACCCCCACGGCCGAGGTCCTCCACGGCCAATCCAACGGCCCAAGAAATGCTCGTTGAGGTAATCTCTAACAATGAGAGAAAAATGGGGCGGTGCGCCATCCTACTTGAACACAACAGAGCGCATGGTACCGAGATAGGTCGAGGAGGCATGTCGAAGTAGGTGTTGCTTGTCACCGTAGGCTCCTGGAAGAACGGCCCGTACACTCTCTGCAAAAGGTCCGGCCACACGTTCCACTTGGGGGTGTCACTCTCCCATTCCCGGACAACATGGGACTGTTCGTCAGCCCAAATCCAGCAGTTGTGCCTGTTCACCGTCTCGTATGTGTGAAACGTTACTTCGTCGCTGAACAGGATACACTCTGGCAAATTCGCCTCGTTAACTGTCTCCAGAAGATCAAGACACAGCAGCACTTGCAGCATGGTCTTCTGGCTTGAAGTGTTGCACGACTTGCACGCGATATGCCCGTTTTTTCAATGTGAACAGCAGAATCTAGCGGATCGTTTCTCGGGGAATGTGCAGTGCACCCTGCTGAAAAAACCTCACTTCAAACTCATGAGATCTCATGAGACCTCACGACTTTCTCATGAGGTTGACCGAATATCTCGAGGAAATCCTAATGAGGTACTTAACGAGGTCTCACGACCTTCTCATGAGAATTGCGCAGTTCCTCATGAGGCTTCGAAACGTCTTCATGAGGATCGAGGCCTCATGAGACCTCATGAGACCGCATGTTCGAAAACCTCGTGAGGCTCTCATGAGGTTTCTTCTGCAGTGCACAACCGACGCGAAATGGCGACTGCATAGCCGCTCTGATGGGATGAATGTCCTGATCTCATTAGAATATCTCTCCTGTACTCACCAAGTTGTTTGCATTTTTATTTATGCATTGAACATAATCAACGATATTTGATTTCCTAAAAACACCTGTCCGAAAAGATAGCCCAGTTTAGGGAGACTTCAGACAATTCTGGCCTACAAGATGGAATGACGCATTAAGGATGGAATAAATGACAGTTGTTTAACCGTAAATATTCTTTCGTATATGATTACTCCTCGTTTAAGGACTCGCGGAACCTTCCAAGCTGAGTCCCAAGAGACTTTTCGTGGTTATTGGGCCACGAGGCAAGTGGCGCCTCTATGCGAAAACCCCATGAAGTCAACCTCATGAGATATCTGCTTCAAACCTCATGAGGTCATTCTCATGATCCCTCTGTCCGAAAACCTCATGAGAATCGCAAATGAGAATCTCATGAGGTTTTTTCAGCAGGGCAGTCCCGCCCTTCCGGATGGACCGTTAAAGACCCCTCTGACCCTGTTCACGTCGTCATTTGACACACTTGGCCGTCCACTGCGTGGTTCGTCTGTGACGTTTCCTGTGCGTCGAAACTTTTTGACGAGTTGCCTAATGGCGGAGACTGATGGCCCTGCTTTGTGGAATCAACGTTCGAACACTGAAGGGACGTCCATGCCACTCCGACCGCTAAGACGTAGGGTTACGATCTCAATTCGCTCCTCTTTGGTGAACATGCTACTGCGGTCACAACAGCCTCAATTGATAAGCGCGATGAGCTTCGGGCAGACGCATATCCGCTACCCCCATCCTCTTACTGCAGGGTTAGATGGACAAGTGGCATGCTTTTATGAACAAGGCTGGTATGGGAACCCGCGTACGCCGTTTTATCTTTCTGCCACCACTCCTCCAAAAATAGTAAGGAACTTTTGGGTTACCCTGTATTTCAAGATTTATTTTCCGCTCTGACAGAAGGGGACACGAAAATATTTCAAGTTAGGCACACATGAAATAATTGGATTATTGATTTCGGAAAAAATATATTTCAGTAAGTTTTTGCCACTTCAAAAATGAGTTAACGAATTAATCTCTATCTTGGATAATGGAGCGCTGAAGGAGCGACCATAGCTAGACCAAAGAAACACGCAAGTAAGAAATAATGGAAGATATTAACTTTTACGTATTCGGAGAAAACACAGAGATGTAACATGAACTGGACGACTTTTCCCAAGATCCTCAAGAGACGTCTTCGAGATTAAGTTCAGTCGAACTCTTCATGATATCCTGAAAGAGATGTCTGTAAAGTATTCTTCTAAGGAGAGGGGCTTTCCTGAAGAGATATCTGGAACCTCCCGCCAACTCCAAAAAAAAAAAATAGAAAAGGATTTTCTCTGAAATCGGCACCCTGAGATCCACTTCAGCTTTCCATTCCATCTGGAACGTAACTTGCTTGGAATTAGCGCCATTCTGGCAGTGTGTTCGTTATATAGAGCGTCGACTGCACTTAACTGTCGAGAACAGTTGGTATGCAGATTCTGCTAGAAGTTAATTGCCTAATGGGTTTGGCACGAATTAGCATGAAGAGCCTTTACTATCCCGGGAATCTGACTTCCCTTCTACTGTAGAACACGTGGTAAAATGGCAGCATCGTCCGATATTAGCATGTATCCATTCGTAAATGTTGTTACCCTGACTAATCATGATGTTGATCATAAGTGGAGTGTTTTCTCATTTCAGGCTTTTGTGATTGCATACACAACAGACTTTATTCCCCGTATGGTATACGAATATAGCTATTCTTCGGACGAAACCCTCCGTGGCTACATTAATTCCTCTCTCTCAGGTGAGACCATACCCCACTCAACAACTCAAAGTCACACGAAAACCACTAACAGATTACGTTGATACATATTTCAGTATTCGACACCACGAATCCCAACTTCACTAAGGAGTTCCTGGCCGAGGAAGACAAAAACCTGTCAACGACATGTCGCTACCCTGGATACCGCAACCCCCCCAATGACCCAGATGGCGCTTATGAGCCCTCGCTGATGCACTGGCACATCTTTGCAGCTCGACTCGCCTTCGTTGTCATTTTTGAAGTTTGCATCATCTGTTCATGACATGATTTAATGGAAAAACTGCTTGTCATGTTTGCCTCCACAAGCAGATACTCTCACGTGCAAATGTTATTTAATCACCCCTTGCTTTCTTGTACAAATGTAAACTTCCAGCCTCTGCAATTTTTGTCAAGCAAAGTCAGTTCGAGTCTTCACGGATTGGAAGAATGTAACATCCAAACAACCAAAAAGTGAAAAAGGTATTGCAATTATAAAATAGAGAGTTACTATTCAAACACCCTGATTATGCAGTCTTGTGTACGGCACACTAGACCTGATGCTGAAAATGTTTTCAGCATAATATGCGCTTTTACATTGCAGCACATAGTGTTCGCCCTGACGGAGATTATGGCCTACATCATCCCCGACATCCCGGAGGCAGTGAAAGTGCAAATGCAGCGAGAGAGGTTCCTCGCCCGACAGGTACGCTCCTTCCATCCCGCCTTCGCCGGTCGTGGAGGCGCTGCTGGCAGCATTCATGGTGCCACAGATTTTCCACTTGGAATCCCTTAAAATTCACATTTGTTTCCTGGGATCATAATCTTGTTTGAGTCAAAAAATTGTACGAAGTAAAAAACATGTTCCATTTAAATTTGATATTACCACGGAAATCATATTAAATATAATTTATTTAAGATCTTATTTTGGTCATCGATTAAAATAAAGAAATCGGTATTGCTTAAGATAAAAATTTTACGTCGCTGAAGCTAAAAATCTGCCATTTACAATAAAGTTTTCCATATTATGGATAGGCACAATTTCCATTGATTACCCTTGTTTGCTTTTTCAAATTTCAAATTAATGTAGATCATCAGAAACGTAGAAGTGTAGCCTCATCTCTGCCCTCAGAAAGCGCTATGATCACCTGCAAAAGTTCACATTACTCTACAATTGATGTGATTCTTCCTGCACATGGAAGCCATAGAAAGACTTTGACTTTGACTTTATTTTTAAAGATTAGGAATGGACGAGGTGCAAAGAAATTGGACCTTCGTTCTCCTGTGAAGGAACGAAGGCCTAGAAGTTGGAACCCCATTCTTAGTCACTGACTAAATACTACAGTAGATGCGGGCAGTCTGGGCAATCTGGAATGAAAGAGATTGAAGAAATGTGCTATATTTTGTTCATGCACTCATCCATCCAAGCTTACCTCTCATCTTTTCTCAATGCTGAAAAATCCCTGAAAATTCCGAAACTCATCCCCGAGAGTTGGAATTTGTTTCAGACTCTAGAATTTGGAAGTTATAATTGCATTTTCCAACTGTTAAAATGTTTCTTGTTTTTGAGAGAAATCAGAACCTGATTCAGGGGTAGGGTCTCCAATGATATATTTTTTTCCTTTATGTGTTAGTGGTCTCGAAAAGTGCTTCCAGTGCCCATGGTCAATGTGTACTCTGTAGAATGCTAGTTAAAGTAAGTCCCTCGAATGTAAATTGCATTTTTGACAGTACTCTACGAAAACCTATTTATACTTACTATTGGCCATTTTCGCTTCCTATATAGGCAGAAATTAAACAGCGACATCGCATGGAAACGAAACCACCAAGATTTCTTTATTCTGGTGCATCATGGCACCACATACTTCATAAGACTGAAGATCGGTTTAAAAAAAAAAATGAAATACGACCGATTAAAATGTTTTTGGCAAAAAATCACCTCCTCGGAGAGGTTAGCACTTTTTATTTTGACGAAGCTTATTTGAGATCTTCTTTGAGATTTAGCTCTCACCGAGGGGGCTGACTCGCAACAAAGGGGATTCATTTGCTATCGTTCTTATCTTGATGAAACCGTGTTTGCTGGATTATTTGCCAGATGGCAGGGCTGCAGTTCAGTCATTTCATAGCTATATCTAGACCCATAACCCTTGACCTCGTGCGCCGATTGGATCGAACCCTTGCATATATAGATTTTTCAATTGTCGTTCTTTATGCAATGACACCCGAACATTGGAAAATGCGATAGACATTTTTAACTTCCACTGAAAAACTAAGTTTTCGCAAAAATCAGGAAAAAGGTACGTTGGAGCAAGTTGTCTCCATGAGAAGGATAAATCCTCGGATGCTAAGAAATTCCAGTTAAAAACTTAGAGAGGGCAAACAGATAGATATACGACGAAGTGCAAATTTCTGTGGTTGTCAATGCTTTTTTCACGTGCTGTATGTCTATGATCAGAAGGAAGTTGTGACATTCTGGGTGGGTAGCGGCATGCTGGCAGGCATGCGGCCCTGTTTCACACATCCACTTAATAGCTCCTCATTCTTGCAGAATTGCAGTTTCTTATGAGAATACTTTTGGCAAAGGAAGCAATCTCTCTTACCTAAGCTATTTCTGTCTTTCTTCTTATAGTCCATTACCTGACTGGAAAAACAAGTATTTTTTTCAATGGAGCTCATTTTTAGACACTGGGTCACTGATCAGGAAAAAGTTGTGCTCTTCTGGGTGAGCTGCAGCATGGTTCACTGCCCCTGTTTCATGTTTCAACTATTCACTTAATACATAATAATTTCTAAGCACTATACCTTTTATTCCTTCCCGTTCATCTCAATGGAGGAATTGTCTCGCTTAGGCCCTGTTCGACACGGAGAAGAAGAAGATCCAGGCGGAGAAGAAGGAGAAGTACATGGGGATGCCCCCGCCAGGCGGATCCTCCCCTGTCGACGCGGTCCCCGCGCTCCGTCTCGCCCATCCTCGTCCCTCCCGAGGAGGTGGACAAGCCCGCTCCCTCCCTCACCGCATCCACCGCGATTCTGATGCCTCCAGTTCGACCCGAGGCAATTGAACTGGTCGAACCCCAGTTGAACGATGGCAGGGCTCGCGATGGCGATGTGTCTTACTCATAGAGGTCAAATCCCTCAAGAATTCCTGGAAAGTATGCCAGAAAAGTGAGACCATGTGGAATAACTTAACTTACGCCTTCAAGACCTACTTTTCTCAGAAAAAAAAAACAGATGTTGTGATATAAAACGATCAGAAAAACCGAACAGCCCATCTCAATTAATACAAAATGACAATGGCATCACATAATTTAAGAATTGTGGAAGTATTCATCTTTGGATGCAAAATATTCTGTCATATTTGTAACATTTGCAACTTTTCAGAGCGTATCACAACTTGTCAGCTTTCGCATAAACATTCCTAATTTTTCTCTTCCGATTTTTCCACCACGCCTCACCTGCTCGTGACCACCGTTGCATATACGTATTAATACTTGTTTCTATGCAGAATGGAATCTCACTTCTTTTTCATATATTTGTTCATAAATACTTCTTTACTCAAACGTGAACGCGAATGATCTGAAGTTTCAATTCTACCACAGCAGAAAGCGTTGCCGTTATTATGTACTCGTGTCTCGCATATCTAGAATATTTTGGTGTCTTCATGTATCCTCGTCTCGATATTGAACGGTGCTCAACCTGTTGTTTGATCGATGTTTGCCAAGCATACTCTGTGTTTCACGAGTTGGAATTCCTTTCGAGCAGCAGCATTCTCATCAGTTCCAGTCTTGCGCTCATTTCATTTTCTTTTTAACATTAGGGATGTTCTTTTCATTGTTTGAGTTTGAATTATCTGAAACTTCTTCATCATATACCGTATTGCTTCCAATATACCGAATTGCCGTATGTGTTTTGAAACAGGCCGAGGTACCAAGATTGGCGCCGCGATCACTAGATGCCTCTACATAACACACATCCATGCAATTACTGTGATGACAAAACTTGATAGTCACGATTTTGAGATTTTTGTTTCTCCGGGAGCATTCGACGATTTCGAGCAGAACGGAAGAACGGGGATCCAAGCCCCATCGGCAATTCTCGAACTGTTGAGGTGATCCATGCATGCGTTAATTTGAGACGTGACATAAAAATCGGTCGTCGATGATTGCTGACTAGGTGGGGAGAAGTGTAGCAATAACAATAGCTAAGAGAGTTTACTTTGGCCAAAATTGATTATACTTTTATTCAGCTTTTAAAATTTAATGAAAATGGACGAAAATGAAAATATCAGAGTTCTAATAAATTATTTAGGGGGTCCCGATTTTATGAATCACGGTGTACTTCATTATCTGGGTTAGGATGAGAGCCTCCCCGAGTGCTCAAAAAAGAGACGCATGCGACTACAAAAACCCATTTACGCAGCGAGAAGACACGTAATGATACGTGGCGAACAGGACCTTATCAGAGCCATTCCGTTCTGGAGGAATAATGATGAGGAATATCGAAAGCCATATACTGCCTGATGAACCTGCTGATCCCGGGAGACCCTGTGTGCAGACCCCACCCTCCGCCCAAAAGGGAAACCAGATGATAATTACGCGCAATTACGGAGGAGAAACGAATGTACCGGCTCATTTCGGTGCTGAATCGATTCGGAAAGAGGGGAATTCTCGTGAAGTGTTTAGCCGCCTTGATTAAGGCGGTTCAACGGCGGCCAGCGGCATGTTTGTCTCATTTCGCGTACGACTTTCGTTTCACGTTGCGTTTTTTTGCTTCTAGCTTTCTTTATGCAGTCATTAGTTTTCTGAGTTTTTTTTTCACCTTGATAAATTCCTAATTGGGAAAGTGGAATTTTGATCGACTTCGGCCAATTTAAACTCCTTCCGGACTCTCCACATGAGAGCAATACTTGCAGATTCACTGCATTGTTAAGAAGGGCAAGAGAGCCTGGAAACGAAAGAGTATGACGCATTGACCATGGGCCATGGGGAATTCAGGAGGAAATGCTGTCAGAGCGAAAACAAGGGAAAAACATAGGGTAGGCGATCCGTTTCATCCCAAAGGATTTCCGTGGTGAAACCGCCACACGCGAAGTAGGTCGAGAACAGACATCAGCGACTCGTTTGTGAGCATAGGGGGAAGGGGGGGGGGGGGTACAGGTATTTTCTGATCGATGCACACACGCGCAAGCGGAACGGAAAGAAACTCGTTAGAGACAAACTCGCTTGTCCGTGAATGACGTGCTTCCACCCGCTCTTCAATATTTCAATATTCATCGGGAAGTCGAAAGGGGAAGTTGAACTCCCGTCGTCGGCGGCGCTGCGTTGGATTCGCCGAAGCGCGGTTCGAGGGATCGAGCCACGGCCAAAGTTAGTTTCATTCTGCGCTCCGGCTTCTGTTGCGTTGAGATGAATGGCTATTTGGTTTTGAGGGATTCGGTTCTTCGCTTGTCTTGAACTGCACTGCATGCTTTCGATCTGGAATGATGCACTCAGAGGCTTTAAGCTTTTTTTTAAAGGCATTTCTTGAAGCGTGGGAACTTTTATATATTTTTTTATTATCTCAGACTTGCCGCAGAATATTGGCCATAGCTTCGATTTTTAAGGAACGGATTTCGAAAAATTTTTCCAAACTTGCGGTGAAGGAAGGCACCTACATCACCTCCGAATTTAACGAGATTCGATTTTTAATGCGATTTTAAATTTTTTTCAAGATGCAACGACCCGAAACTAGATGGTCTCACTATGCGATATACTGTACAGACTTAAGTCGCCTTACCGAGAATAATTATTTTAATATTTGGCAACACTGATTTTAATCAGTGTTGCCAAGAAATTTTCTTTTACTTTAATCAGTGATTTTAATCAGTGTTGCCCTGTACATCCAAACGTTCCCGGACTTTTTCGAGTCAATCCAATTTTCTTGGTGAGTTGCCTTGCTGCGACCGTGGGTAAATCTGCAAGCATTTTTGAGCGTCAATCTCATTTCTTGCAGTTCTTATTCGAGGGCACTTTGAAACCACTCGGAATCGCCGGTGAAGAGGGGTTTTAAAACTTTCCAAAAAAGCCAAACATTTTCAGGCGGAAAATGTCATGCGGCCCATCATTTGAATCGCCAAGTCGTTTTCGAGACGAAAGAAGCTCCGAAGAGACCCTCGGCAACCCTCGGCAACCCTCGGGCCTCGGGGTTTGTGGAGTTTCGATTAACGTTCGCCCCCGTCCCGTAAAAAAGTCGAGAATTGTGCTGTAGGACGCGAATTCGTCGCCCTGAAACGTTTTTTTGCCTTTCCATAAATTTCTTTTTAGTTTTCAGACTCTTTCTCATCGGGAACCCAACACTGACTTGAATCTCCCACAAGTACACAAAAGTGACCTCGAATTAAAAATGCACGAAAACTACTGGAAAAATATGTCCGTTCGTCCCCCCCCCCCGGAAATTTACATAAATTATTCAAATGGTAGAAGAAAGAGTCCGGAAACTTTCCGAATGCCCTTCGTGTATCTTTCTTCCTTCAGACCTTTAAGGAATTCCTTATCATTACAGTTATCATTTCCGCAATTCCATTAGGATTTGAGTACTTTTTCATCTTGCAAACGTTCATCACCTCGCTCCAGTTCAAGTTCCATCTTCTCTAAAATCCAGCTGCGTTAGTTTTGGGGTTTCGCCTTATCTGCGTTACCCAAAAACTTATTCAAGTGCGAATAACACATTACGTTAATTATGCATCCAGTATAATTAACGCGAGACAATCCGGGTCGAGATCCCGCCTTGCGATGGGAGCGATGATCAACGATGATCAACGAAACCGCGAGCGGAGAAAAAAAAGAACGATCGGTAGGTCGGATTCGCCCCAATGAAACGTTTTGAATATTTCATCGCATTCCAAGAAATGTTTCTGCAGCCGATGAATGCACGGAATCGATGCGGATTTCGCGACAACAATTCGTTTTGGAGCAGCGAATTGACGTTGGCATAACGTGGAGGCGGAAACCATCGGCACATTCAATCAGCACCCTGTCAATATTGGCACATTCACTAATCACAGCACCCCATTACCATTGGCACATTCACTAAGCACCCAATTACCATTGGCACATTCACTAATCATTGAATGAATGATTGAGGAGCGGGTCGAACCATTTTTTTTGCTCGACGTTTGGCGCCGTTTGGTGGCGTCGGTCTAATTCACGGCAGGGAAGTCCTCAAAATAATTCGAAACGATCGCATGGTGTAAGAATATTCGCTGACGACCTGCACGATCGAACCGATCCCGTGACACAGAATCGAGATGGAAACGATTTTGACCTTGGCCTTGGAGGAAGAGGCCTCGAGGACCGCGAAGGCCGTTGCCATGCGACGGTGAGCAAGGAACCGAGTCGAGATCTTTCGACGGCTGGATTTGAAAACAAACAAAAAAAACCTGCGGGATTCCGAGACTTTCAGTTAAAGGCCTTCGTCTCCAAAGGACTCGGAAGAACGGGAAAAAGAATGGACTGTGCAGGCCGTTCCTCTCCTTTTCATAGAAACTCTCTCTTTCAACTCCTAGCTACCTACCCTACTGCGCTCTGCGGAGAAAGGACCCTTCGCACTCCAGGAGAGGCCGCCGCGCACGGAGCCCAACAATCAGCGAAGCACGTAGTAAGTCCTAAGGCGCAGACTGAAGATGAAGTCGCACGAAGACGTGGGTTAGACGGGTCAATAATGAGACACTGTATAAACCGAAGGGCTTCAACCTACCGCTGTGGAGCGTGTTAGTATTAGTCCATTATTCATCAAGCGGGAGAAGGGGGGTAGGGGGGGAGCATGGGGGAGAGAGGGAGAGAGAGGGGGGGGGGAGAGAATCGACATAATATGGATTATTCACAGTGCGCTTGGATTCCCCACTGCACCGCACGTAGGAGCCATTTTGAGTACCCCCTTCCCCCGTGCTTGCAAACGCGTGGGGGGAAGGGGGGAAGTGTGTCGCTCGTTCTTGGATCTGGTGCTATCTTCCGAAAACCTGAGTTTTCCTCGTTCTCGTGCGAGTCTGCGCTCAAGTCGGAACTTTCCGTCGGGTCCTATCTGACCCCATCGGCTCTCGTTTACCAAAAAAATTACGTAATTAAGTAGTCTCGTCGATAGTAGAGCGATTTGACCATTGCAGCTTTTCCACACGCAGATCCTTTGCGCTTCTAATTGCTTGCGCTCATATGCTTCACGGAAGTGCAAGGTCGTGGATCGATCGGAACGGAACGGAACACTTGGCGGGAACGCCATGACGCATTTTCCCTTATGAGAGAAAATGCGCGAGTACCGCCGGGATCTCGAGGTCGAACCGGGGGCCTCTCTCCCCCCGTCCACGTCCCCCAAGCGGATGAAGACAGAGGAAATTAATTCTCCTCCTTCCTCGGATGTCCCCGGTATTTTTTATATAAATTATAAGTATTTTTTTTTTTAGCTTTGCATTCTCTCATTCGCATTCGGGGTGGGTGGATCTGGATCGCCTGGAACCCTGTGACGACGCGAGAAGATTTCTGTCTTTGCTTTATTCTCTTGGAAGTATCACCGATGAAAACATCGAGGGAGGGAAAGCTGAAATTTATTTGATAAATTAGAGTAATGCCTCACCCAGCCTTAGGTTATCGGGACAAAAGAGTGATTCCCTTCGGAAATTTCTAAAAGTACTAGACAAATGTGACTAAGGATTCTAAACCTTTTCTACTAACGAGCAAAAGGCTTTTTTCCTCAAGTGAGATGACTGCACTTATCAAAGGCTAGGGGGAGAAAATTTCCCATGCATTTTCCCATTTCGAAAGCAGGAATTCGTATTGCATTATCCATCCGGGTAATGGGTAGGTAGGGTAATTGTGGACTTTTGCATTTGTGAAGAGGCAACTGTTTTCACGGAAAAAGTAAAAATGTGGATACTAATTGTGCAGTCTGTTGAAACTCATCTTGAAGAACTAATAAATACAATCCTGCTCCAAGGCAGTGACTCTCGACCATGCATTCCCGTGCGGGAAAAAAATCCTATTGGATCCTATGAGATTTTTGAAACATGAAAATATTATAGGATTCTTATAGGATACCTCATTACAAGTTGTCAACAATAATCTTACCAAGCATTGGGTTGAGTACGAAGCAAAGGAATAGAGATTATCAACGATATCTGGGAGATCATAAACGATATCTGGTAGTCCAGAATATCGGCCAGAATATCGAATTTCTGGTAGACCAGAATATATGCAATAATCAGCTTCTACCCTTCAGGTTCCACTTCCTTCCGTGTAATTCAGCCGCCCGAAACAAGAAATAGTTTAGAAGAAAATGTCGTATTCTTGTTGAATCTACATTTGAAAGGAAAACTACGTCGGATTCCCTGCAGGACTCGAGGAGACACAAAGCGAGAGACAAGACGCGACGCGTCCCAACGAAACGAAAGGAGTCCTCATGCAAAACTCGCTGCTGATGAAGACCGTCCTCGATGGCGAAGGGTATCCGGCGGGTGGGGGGAGTGAGTCTCCGGGGCACAAGCTCAAGGGTTCCGTCATGGAGATCGCCAGGTCCTGGGAACTGCAGCAGGTGAGGACATTTTCGCGTGTGGAATTCATTTCCGGGGACAGTTTTACACTGTTAAAAAAAAAATAAATAAATAAATAAACAAAACAAAATAAAAGAAAGAGGTGGCCCTAGGGCCACATCTTTCTTCCACTTCCAAATGGCAACTTGAGCAAGAGATTAAGCGAACTTCGGCATATCGGCTAGGAAGAGGTTCAGAAAAACTGGCTTTGAAAAATGGTAAGATAGCACTGGAGGAGAGAAATTATAAGAAAACCATGGAAGTAAAATTCCCCAGGGTGAATGCGACTACTTCGGACCGAATTACAGTTTTTTTTTTTTTTTACAGTTTTTTGCAGTTCGCCAATAACTTGTTTTCTCTTGCAGCCTGTGGCGCACATCGATTCGCTGTATTTCCGGGACAAAACGCGCCAGATCGACTACATCATCACCTACATGGATGATAAGGACGATGAAGATGATATGAAGCAGAATATGAAGAAGCGAGAGAGTTTCCAGCATCAACTCGAGGAAGAAGGACTGGAGTTGGAGCTCGAACATAAGGCGGTCAGTCCTTCTTTTGGAAAAAAAAAAAACTGCCTCGGTTAAGGGTCATGGCGCGTGCTCAATCCTGTGATTTCGATGGCGTTGAGGCCATTCCACTTTCGCTTTCGCTGAAAAATTATTCGTTACTTCATTCGATCCTTGGTGACATCTTCCCCTTCCTGCATAAAATGTCCGTGCATGAAGCGAAGACTAGCTCCATCCTGCGGGGATTACATCCTATTCAGTGGCAGTTATGGATACAATCCAAATAAAAATTTGTGTTACTCAGAATGCTTTACATGAGGGGTGCACAACATACGGCCCGCCGTGACTATGGCTGCAGAGGCTACTGCCATGGTCAGCCAGACTGCGGCCAGCTGCATGCGAGTAAGAATTGCAAATGGCCCTCACAGTCTTTTGAGTTGTGCACCCCTGCTTTAGATTGAGCGAAATTAAATGTCATGCTCCAGCACAGTCCTTAGATGCATGTCATCGTGACGAGTGAACTGAATTCCCGTTCGTGACTAATCCATCTCCAGCTGTCGAAGGACGGGGACACGTACTTCCTGAAGGTCCACGCTCCCAAGCCGGTTCTCCTCCGATATGCCGAGATCCTCAGCATGCAGATGCCCATCAAGGTCGGTTTCCTCTCTGAGTCTTCCACGAGTGGGCTCGAGTGATCTCTTTGAATTACACGTTTGCGGTTTTGCTTCCCTGCATACGATTGACGATTGATCAGGTCCTGAATGTTGCCTCTCACTGGAGATGGATTTCGAAAATCGATATGGCAGCCAAACAGACGGGGGCCAGAGAGTTTGGCAATCCATTCGTATCGTCACCTTTAGCTAAGCATTAGGATAATGACTGGCTGACCAGTTTCATACTTTTTCTTCTTTTGTATTATGGACAATGCTCCACTACTTTGGGGTCCCTGCAAATTGATCTGGCATCGATCTGCACCCGAGCTTTTCATGAATAACAATATCAGAATAACCACAAAAATCCCTTTTCAGGTTTTCTGCAAATGGCGGTAGCGACTAACAGTTGACATTTTACTGTTGTGGTCCACTTCGCCTTCTACTACGTATAAAGGGAACTGGCTCCAGATCTAGTGTCCCAATTCTTTTGATGCAGTGGGTTGAGCGATGCAGTTTGATGCAGTGATGCTTTACTTGATCAGTCGGCACGCCAGAAAGCCAATAGCGTCGAGAAATTAGTTAATTAGTCATATAAGGGGGAAAATGGTATTCCACGGGAAAGAAATCGTGAATGGTTCGCAAAAAATCGCCAAGGCATCTCTTTAAAATTCAGGTTGCGTTTGAAGAGCTTTTCTTTTCCATTAGATTCGTGCCCGATCCGAAGAAGCCACTGGGTAAGACCAGATCATTCATGTCCCACGATGGGCTTTGCCTGTGACGCTCCCTGCGAAACCCCGCGGATTGCACTTTAGTGAGGTCAGAAATAGCAAAACTGCAGATATGCTTTGTTTAATCTCACCGCTTGATTTTTTGAATCGAGTTTAATTTTTAAAAGACGGAAGGGATGATTCTAACCGAATAGGTTTCATCTCAGTTCTCTCCGCATTTCGTTTTGAAATTTTATATTTGCCCCCTGCTATAGCGAAAGTACTGACTAACTACGTGGCTTGAAACCGCACTGCAACCAGCATGGCCTCATCGAGTGACTTTTCATTCAGGAATGATTGAATGCTGAAGAGCAGGGAAAGAAACTTTGAACTTGCATGACCTCTCGTTTGCCAAATAATAAAAATTATTTTCTTCCAGCTGCATTGTTTGGAATGGTTTTTGGAGGTTTTTGGAATGGTTTTTGGAGTGCTTTAATCCTTGGCTTTCTCTCCTCTGCTTTCCTTCCCTTTTTTGCACGATTGCTTCTCCTCAAACCCTTTGCCTGTGCTTGCGTGTGGACAGAGCTTTGTAGTGGTTACCAGCCGAGCCTCGGCCGCGGTGAGTCTTTCCTACTAGGTCCTACTTTTCCGCTGATGTCGTGCTTGTTTCGGACAGTGAGGAAGCACAGGTACGAATTTCACACGAAGGTTTCATTTTTCTGAAGCTCGAGGTGAGGCAGAAGACACGGAAATCCTTTTACCGCCGGCTCACATCGGTCTTCGATTACGATCACTCCATCATCCCCAGCGAGCCGGAACACTTCTCGGCTGGGCTGCAGAACGACAAAGATCTGTAAGTGTCTGCCTTCGGTGGGTTCGATGGTGGATTCTTTTGATGTGGTTCGACGGTGCAATATGGTTGCAGAAGGGTCATCGTACTTCATCCAGTCTGTACAGCAATACGGACTCGGCATTGCAAAATTGCTAAGTTTCAATATCTGTCGTGTTTAAAAAAAAATTATAAAAAAGGATGAAAAAACGTTGCTGGGCATCAACATTGACTCAATGCTGAAATTAAGTAATATGAAAACCATTTTTTCAATTACTTTCTCCTTTCTTCAGCACCCCCTTCCCCCATACCAACCCCCACTTCTCCACGGGACTCACTAATGATATGCCTAGGCCAAATCCTTCAGAATGTCTTCAGGTCAGACCTGGGTCTACTTATTTTTTCCTCTCAAAGAATCTCAGCCCTGGACTAACTGGGCCAATTAGGTTTATGAGTCGATCTCTCGGTTTTCGAGACATCTCACTGAGAATGAGCAACGTTAGGCCAATTATGAACCTATTCTGACTTTCACAGGCCATTTCAGAGCGAACGCGTAATGTTAGGCCTATCTGGAGCTTCTCGAACCAACTCGACGAGATCTGCGGAGAGCAGATCTCCGAAACTCAAAGTTGATGCCGGACGCCATTCTGCTGATTTCAGGGATGCCCTTGCACGATAGTTCCATATCCCGATACATCGATCGGCCACTGCCTACAACCGTTTCAATCTCAGTACATCCCATGAACTTGGAACAAAAATGTATCATACGTTAAAAGCAGAAGCTCCAGGCACAGATACGAAAGCCGAAGCAGTCATGAATCCGACATAACTCCAACACGATATTCGGCAACCTTGGGGGACGGGACCGGAGCCGAGCCAGCCCGCTCAGCCTAAATGAACAACAGCTAACTTCGCTTTCCATAGCGAAATGGTGCATTGCAAACAACAAAAGGGACACCTTCTGTGATCTACAAGTAAATATCTTTCTTTTGGTTGGAATAATTGCTCTGAAAACAACCCGGGGGGGGAATAAAAAATACTGGAATGAAATTCACATCTTCAAAAAATGAGATTCATTGTTTCCCGCAACCCTGGTGAGTTGGAGCTTCAAATTTGCTGAAGCGATTATGTATTAAGAGGGTAAGAAGCATACCCAATTTCGTTAGTCTAGATGCTCACAGAGAGGAACACGAGGAAATTGAATTTTGTAACGGGGGAGGAGTTGAAGGAAGACAATAGACATTACCAATTTAGCAATAGTCTATTGATTAGACAATTCTCAATAATTCTGGGCCATTGATTTGTTGATTGTGGTTCAATAGAATGATGAATGAATCCCTCGAAATCTCACATTAACATGATTTCAATGCATTGCCATTATTCTAGACTGTGGTAACGTTGATTAAATGCTGAATTAAGGTATGTCTCAACGTTCATGGGACCTGGAATTTCCGGTCATGCAGACGATTCACTCGATGAAACTTCCCTCCTTGCCGAGTCCTCGTTGGCAAAATTGGTCGGAGTCTCGTTGGGATGGGTTAACCCTTTCGTCGAATGCATCAAGGAATTCCGATGTTTTCCCTTTTCTTCCGTGGAGAAATGATCGAGTACCGTCTGCTGGTGACTCATTCCAGTTGCCCGTATGGGAACCTGAACTGGCGAATTTTAACGCCATCTCGCTTAGGTTGTGGGCAGCTTGTTTTTCTCGTTTGGATGGCTGGATGACTCACTCTGATACCGAGCTGTAACATCGATATGACCTTGAACATTCAACCGAAGTGCAACATGAACTCGACGTTCTAGCAATATGTCTCATGTTCACTCAGCTTAGAGTTATTTAAATATATTGACATAATGTTGATATAGGCAAATGAGCCGGAATCTTTTTGAAGGCCTCGTACTTGAAGGAAAGATATTCTAAAATTAAAGAGACAACGGATGAACACTTCCTTCATTTTGGTTCCTGATAGGCGTTGGATACCAAAGCAGGTAACATTCAAATCAAGATATATATTAAGAGTGGTGCAAGATATCATATAACGGTTTCAAAAAAAGTTTGATGAGCCCCCACATCACGGCCAATTTTCATGAAAATAGGATACGGTCGAGCTCATCCTCTGGTTACTTTGTTGGGCTAGTGGCTACTTGTCGCCACCCTGGACAACCTCAATTTGAAGCTATCCGAAGATATTGTCCGGGAATGCCATTCTTAAGTCAATTTTTCAGATCTTCACTCCAGGGCATATACAGCTGAGGTCCGGGACATGCAAAGATAGGTGCTTTTGCCACATAATGAGGACACAATTTTAAAACGTCCCAAGTTAAGGGGGATAAGCATATAATAGGGACGCCACTAAGATTAAAGGCTATTTCGCTGTTGTTAAAAAGGAGCCCCAGAAGTGAAACGGAAACTAATTTACTCAATACTTCTCCATTTTGTTGGAGGTATTTTGATGCACTTTCCAAACTTAGGTTCCTAAGGGATGCGAAGCAGAACGTAATCCCATGTAATGCCAACCGAACAGGTTCCTGAAGAAGGTGCGGGACGAGGAATTCTCTCAATCCCAGAGGAACTACATCGTGTACGAGCTCCTGCGCCGCACTCAATACGACGACGGCGACGAGACCAAGTTCGGCATCCAGCGACTCATCAGCGACGGAGCGTACGAATCCTGCTTCCCCCTGCACGACGGCCGATACGACGTGGATCCCCACGACGGAACGCTCAGCACTCGACGGGTTAGCCGACATCGTCTTGACAGCCGCACTCTAACACGTTCAATTCGAGCAGATGGTCGCCTAGGAAATTCCTGCTGTTGAAAGCATTCATTCCTACTTCCTGGTGCTCCCTTCGTCCGTCATATCAGAAAAGAATCCATCTTACTCGTGCGGTAGCGATCTGATTCTTCAGTTCCACACGCATTCCCCATTTTACTTAACTTATTATTGAGTCCCAAGATTCCACAGTAATGTACAAGATGTTCTACAGCACAGAATGCGTTGGGCGAAATCTATCATTTTTGCGAGTATTGTTTTTCGTTCTCGTCCACTTTTTTGTCAATGAAAATTTTCGATTTCATCAGTGTGACGGAAGTTGACCATTTTTTTCAACGAAGGCCTAAAAATCCTGATTTTCATATCGTAAACGTCATTGGTAAAGGTCCTCCTCAAATTCATTCCGTATTATTGCAATACCTTCATGTCCATCTTCATTCGTTCAGGTCCAGTTCTTTATTGTATTGGCGAACTGGTATGACATGGCGAAACCGTACGTATTCAAGATTTCGTTTAATTTCTCCCCATCGATTCCGTCCAGCTGTTGTACAAGGAATGGGCTCGTCCTGGCCGTTGGTACAAGCGCCAGCCGTTGTGGCTGATCCGCAATTACTTCGGTCCCGAAGTCGGTCTCTACTTCACCTGGCTGGGCTTCTACACCAGTATGCTCTTCCCGGCAGCAGCCATGGGTCTCATCTGCTTTATCTACGGCATCCTCAGCCTCAAGGATAACATTCCCAGGTGAGACATCTCGGCATCCTCGTTCATCGATAGCAGTGGCACGGCAGTTCTATGACATATCACGTTTTGTTAGCTTCGACATCTGCAACAAGAATACAACTGGGAATTACACCATGTGCCCGCTGTGCGATCACGTATGCGATTTTTGGAAGCTGAGCGATAGCTGCAACACCTCCAAATTCGCGTTCCTCTTTGACAACGCTGCCACTGTGGTGCTCGCCGTTTTCATGGCATTCTGGGGTGAGTCTTTCGAGGCTTAAATTTCTCATAGCTGCCACGCGATGTTTACGCTCGTTGTCATGGCAGCCACGCTATTCCTGGAGCTCTGGGAGCGGAAGCAAGCCGTTGTCGCATGGGAATGGGATCTTGAAGGCTTCGAGGAGGAAGAGGAACCCAGACCAGAATATGAAGCCAAGGTTTGCCGTGCTTTTGCTTTTGCTTTCCGGACTCTCCGTTCAGCTTTATTATTATCAGATTATTATTCTCTTCCCTTCTTTTCATTCATTCTTTTTATTGTTAAGCATAATTCGAGTATGGTATAGCTCAAGTATAGTAACGGATGACAAGTTCATTTTTTAAGCCAGCATTTTTCTTTACCAATTTCTTTTCTTGCATCTGGCCAGTACCAAGTATGAAAGGTGAAATCAACTTCCTTCATTTATCATTACCTTATCACTATAGTTCTGCTCTGGTGCCTGTGGAATCAAAGTGAAGATGAGGCCACCATCTCGCGAACCATGTGGAATATGGTCGAGGCAATATTCCGTTCACTTCTATGAATTAACAGGAATTGTTTCAACGATTTTATTTTAGCTTGATCCGAACAGGGGAAAAATTCAAACAAGGAGAAGGCAATACACCAGTATATTGTACTAAATTGCTATTTGCAAAGGAAAAACGAATTGACCTTGTTATGCTTGGACAGGTGAAGACGACTCGATTGAACCCAGTGACGCTGCAACACGAGCCGTATGTCTCAAGGTACAGCAGATGCATGCGACTCTTCACCGTCTCCTCTTTCATCCTTTTTCTGGTATGACTGCTCGCCTTATTCATGTGTTTTCTTGTTGAGTTTTGATTTTGTTGAAGGCTTCTTTGAGGGTCGAATGGGTGTTATTTGAGCAGTTGTTCCTGGTGCTGGCGGCCGTGTTTGGAGTGATCGTGTATCGCCTGACCATAATCGCCGTCCTGAATTCGAGCCAAGTCGGCTTGTTCAAGTCGAACGCCAAGACTGTCGCTTCCGTTACGGCTGCCATTATGAACCTGATTGTCATCATCTTCTTCAACTGGGTCCGTACCCTTTTGGCTTTCAAAAGCGTGGCAGTCGTATTCGCATCCCTTGTCTGAAGCACTGTTGCAGACAATCCATTGACTGATCGCTGTCAAAGGATGGGGGTAAATAGGGGGGGGGGGAGGTGGTTCTCTCCCTTAATATCGTATAAATTAAATAAGTAATGTAATTAAGCTTCTTTATTTTGCATTATATTTATGCTGACATCGACGAAGCAAAGTTTCTTCAGCGTGAGAGGAAATAATTCCAGCCAGAGTGTGCTTGGGTCGGTGACTTTCCAGTAGTATTAAGAGAATGAAGATAAATTACTCCAAGTGGTAAAAAAAGGGTGTAATGCTAGGATGGATACATAAAGGTGACGAGTTTATTTTAAAAAATGGCAATAAGCACATGTCCTTTCACTTTTTTTTCCCTCAATCAAGGTACTTCGCCCTGTAAATAGTCTGCACCTCGCTTCTTCCTGTTGTCTTCGTTCTTGTGCGTCTGTATCATGCCTTGCCTATCCGACCGTAGCTAGAGCAGTGTTGGTCCGATTTCTGGGGAAATTTGTATATTGTAATGGTAGTTGTGCATGCATGGGAAATTCAGAGGCTAATTTCGTCTTGGAAAGAATTCGTGCCAAAACAACATCTTCTTCAGCGCTCGAAAAGTTGTCAAAATTTTCACGGAGGGAAATGCATGTGTTACGGCAGGAATTCCTGGATATTAAACCTTAAAGCGCATGCGCAGCAATTAGAGCAGATCGGGGTACCATGTCCCCAACTAAAGCTGCCAATCTAATATTCATGGTTGAGGAATCCGCGGTAGACCAGCGGAAAGAGAGGCTGTCCATGACAGTCGAGGAAGGGTTGCTTTTTGAACTTATTAAATACCGATATGTAGAAGTAGAAATTCAACGGATTTTCATCGCTCAAGATTCCTCAGGGATTTTTAAAGTGCTACGTTCTTCTTTTCAATGAAATATTTTAAAGCTGAATGTCACTCACAGATGGAAGCCTTTCTCCTTTGGCACATCAAAACAATTTATTTTTCTAAAACAGTTATACAATAAAGTAGCGGAATTCCTGACAAACATGGAGCTGCCTCGGACACAGACGGACTATGAGGACTCCTACACCTTCAAGATGTTTGTCTTCAAGTTCATCAATTTCTACTCTTCTCTATTCTACATTGCGTTCTTCAAGGCAAGACAGAGTTGCTTTTAACTCCTTCGCTCCCACGGAGCCTTAAGGTGTCGTCATGGCTGTACATTCCTTTCAGGGTCGTTTCTACGGGCACCCGGGGGATAAAGAGGCACGCGATTCTTTCAGATACGACCTCTGCGACCCAGCCGGATGCCTCTATGAGCTGTGCATCCAGCTCTGTATCATCATGGTTGGGAAGCAGGCTCTCAACAACTTCACAGAATTGGCTCTCCCGTGAGAGATTACTTGAAATATTTTCTCCCAGGAGGACTGGAAGCTGATTGGATTTTTGTCAAAAAGGACAACAGCCTCTATTGCAAATGGTGTTTAGGTTCAGCTTTTTCAAGCTGCGACAATTTTGAATTTTGAATTTGAAAAGTGTCTCAAATTGAAAACTAACATTAATAATTAAAACCAACTTTATAACTAAACAGTTATAAAAATTAGTTTCAATGATGGTTTAAACAGAAACGATGGGAAGATGGAACACATCAGTGTGTCCAGCATCAGGTGATTTAGGGCAGTGGTTCCCAGACTTATTTCAATCGCGACCCACTTGCTGACGTTCAGAAAATTTCGCGACCCATCGGAATCCAGAACGAGGTATTTTCAAAGTAATCTACCTTTTCTGCAGGGCATATTTTATCCTGAGCGGATGTGGATATAGTGATTTTTTATATTTGGAAAATGAACGCGACCCACAGTTTGGGAACCGCTGATTTAGGGCATAGCTCGTATCTCCTTCCCCCAGAGTGAGTGGGGCAGAAGACCATATGGGACGGATTGGTGCCTAACCACAATAGTTACAATAGGAACGTGATGGATATTGGTTGCATGGCTTGCCGGGCAGATAGGTTGTAATGATGCAGTACAAATGATTATTACATTTTTTGTGGACCTCGCACGCATTCAGAGGTAGAATTTTCCTTATCATGCCGAAGCAGGATTTTCATACTAAAGAGTTGCTCCGTCTTCCTTCGAATATGACCAGATATGAAATTAACTATATTTATAACTTCTTTATAACTTTTGCGCTGGAGAAAGAAGATAATTATGGAGTAATACTCTTTCAATTGACTTGCCTTGGCTTGATTATATTTTCACTTACCAGTATCTTCAAAATAAGATTCAGTATGACGCTGGAGAATATATTGTGGCTTGTCCATTGTTGAAAGCCACGAAATTTCTCAAGGGAGTTGGTGAGGTGGTGGCGCTCGAGAAGAGTCGCGAAAGAAGAGGAAAAGGAAGAAATAATTCCTCGTTGGGAACAGGACTATGCACTCGCGCCGGTCTCACAAAATATGGTACTCTTTAACGAATACCTTGAGATGGGTGAGTGCACGAAATGAAATTTCTCAAGGGAGTTGGTGAGGTGGTGGCGCACGAAAAGAGTCGCGAAAGAAGAGGAAAAGGAAGAAATAATTCCTCGTTGGGAACAGGACTAACGTGAGCGCGGCCAGAGTGTTTTATACCATGAGAAATTGCTTATGGAACTCTACCCACTCACGTGCTTTAAACTAAGGACTACGACGAGGCGTAGTAAAATAGCGTAACGCAGCAGACCCTGAAACCAGTGATCCAGTTCGGGTTTGTGACTCTGTTTGTGGCGGCATTTCCACTGGCCCCACTCTTTGCCCTGCTCAACAACTTGGTGGAGCTACGCCTGGACGCGTATAACTTCGTCTGCAATGAGAGACGCGTCACGTCGAAGCGCGTCCAAGACATCGGCGCCTGGTCTGGCATCCTCAAGGCCGTCACCTACATTGCAGTTATTTGTAATGTGAGTGCAACTCGCTCTTCCTTTCTACAACTTAGTTTGGGATGAATGGTGCTGTCAGCTGAAAAGGACAACATTTATTTTTATTATTGATAGAAATTTCAATAACATATGAACATATGCTGACAATTTTCTGTGCAATTTAGAAATGCCCGCCACTTTTCAAGACAGAAAATTTTCAGAATTCCAAATATGCATCTGATGAAATGGATGAAACGGTCAGAGCAGAAATAACTTTGCCAAGGAAGTTGCAAGAGAAAACCCACAGTTCTCGTTCACTTGTGTTGAGTGGAAAAGATTTCATGGATGTAAGACATTTTAAATTTTGGCAAGATGTATTGTTTTTTCAAGAAGGAAAAACAAGAGTGAGCACTTTTTTTCGATAAGATAAAGTAGACCGCGTGCAACAATCACGCATTTGGCATTCCAATCCAATTGTCTGAACCTTAGGGACACCCAAGATTTTCACCCTGCGGTGTTGTACCCTTCGGGTGCCAGCCAGGGTTTTGCGAGTGCAAGAAACCTTAGACGAATGTGAAGTACGACTCAGACACGAGCTGCCACGCTCTCATAACTCGTATCTTTCCTTCCTTAAATAACTGTCACACCCTCAGCATCCTTCAGCAATTCTGCCCCCCCCCCCATCTGACTTGGTGCACGCGCGTGTACCATGTGGATGTACCCAATAAGCATATGGATGTAAATATAAGAAGCTCTTGGCTCCTTGTCCAATTCAAGCGTCATGAGCAAATCTCTTGAAATGGCGACATTCTATGAACTCATCGTCGATGCTATAAGTATATAAACTATAGTGAATTACACACTAGGTTGCTAATCATGGGTAATCATAACGTCATCCTTTAACCTAAGTGGCAGACCTTAGGGGAGACAGCGCCCCCTTCCGCGGCGACCTACCGAACATCAATCGTGTGAATGAGCGAATCGCGGCGATTCCTCGCGGAAAGATTCGGAAAATCGCTAAATATTGGGAGTGTGGGAGCACAATTTCTGGAGTACTTGAAATTTCGGAAAGTGTCACAGCCAATGGTGTCCAAAAGCAGCATGCTTTAGAAGTGGGCGCACAAAACTTCTGAACGGAGCCGAATAAATGAAAGCGAGGGGAAACCACTCCCTTAACTTCTTCGAACGAGCTCCGAGCCGAAATCAGAAATTCAGATCCTTCCAGAAGCACACAGCTCTTCAGCAGAAAGTAAGTGTCCGTCAGTGGGTTCATGATGGGAGTGCATATATATATTTTGGCTGCAGATACTCCGAGAAATAGGAGAAATTTCGAGACTGTATCTTATCCTATTGGATCACAGCAGAAGAAAGTCCAGGTTTCTGAAACCTACCATTACTACATAGTAATACTATACTATGTAGTAAAATGGCAACATCGTGCGAAATTGAAATGTAACCCTTTTGAAAATGTATCATAGGGATCGTGATCATTGTGACATTCTTATTTTGTCTCTGTTTAGGCATTTGTGATTGCATACACAACGGACTTCATTCCCCGCATGGTGTATCAGCTCAGCCATTCCTCGAACAAGTCCCTCGTAGGATTCGTAGACGCTTCTCTTTCAGGTGAGACCATTTAAGGTGGCAATTAGAAAACCCCCCGTCCCCCTGGCTAGCAGAGATGTGACGGAAACACGATTGAGTAACTTTTCCATGTCTCAGGTATTATGGGGTTTGCATTGTTGCACGTTTTAGGCTGAAGGATTCAGGGAAGGTTCGCCACGTTGCCGAAATTAGTGATGTAGTTTGCCCTTTCCCTCTTTGCAAGACAAATAGAAGTTCGGATGTGGTCGGCGAACTCTGAATCATTTAGCTTGGAAGGAGCCTTGCTGCAAAATCAGTGGAAAAAAACTGTAAGATAGCACTGCAAAGTCGACGATTAGAATAGGATAATTACTTTCAGGTGGACTACCACGCCACTGGTGGCTTGTGGGTCTGGTTCCATCTATTGTTGCCAGCCCGTACACTTCTGAACAAGTCAAAATCATACGAGAACTGCAATAAATTGCAATATTTTGGCACTCTTTTCAGTGTTCAACACCTCGGATTTCCAACAGGACTTTCTGCCCGATGAGTACAGATACAACCGTAGTAATATTCCACCGACATGTCGCTATCCCGGATACCGCGAACCTCCCAATTCTCAGAATCCCTATGGCTACTCGGAGTTTTACTGGCACATCTTGGCGGCTCGACTCATCTTTGTAGTCGTCTTTGAGGTTAGCAAGTCTTTTTCATCAAATGACAACATTTAATGGAAAATATCATCATTTCTTCTTGCAATCTCTGCGAGTGAAGAGTTTCAGCATTTTCTGTCCATTCTGAGTTCAAGCAGTATGGTAAATAATATTTCTGGCTAATGCAAATACTGTATACTGCCCTCTAAAAGTCTTGCAACACTATTGGGGACAGAAATTCTCAGCACCTATCGCATTTCCTGCGGAAATTGTTCTTCAGACACCTTAATCCGTTACCTTTGCGAAGCGTCCACTCGTGTCATGATTTGTGTCAGCGTTTGTCAAAATTTTGACTCAGAATCCGTCTGGTTCGGTTTTTCAGTGTAGAACGATTAAAATCCGTCCCCAACCGATTATTGAAAAGTCTACTTCTCATCTTGCACGCCGTGTGAGAAGCACGTTTTCTCTACGCACTTAAAGGAAAAGACTCTCGTCAGGTCCTCCACAACCCTTGCCAGTTTTTTTTTCCATAATACGTGGTATAAAGAGATATCAGTAACATCAAGAGAGAGAGAGAGAGAAAAAAAAAACAATATATTTTCTTTTGATAATATATTTTCTTAGCTGTGCAAAGCTGTCATTACCATCAGGATTTGAGCTACCATTTCTCCCCATCTTGGCATTAATATCTCAGTTGTGCGTATGACTATTGATGGTTACCTGCAAACCGAGAGTAGATACTGAGATTTTGTATCATGAAAAAAATCTCAAGAATTGTGGAGGGCACTGACAGGAGACTTTTCCTTAAGCTGCTTAGGGAAAACGCGTTTCTCACATAACGTGCAAGATTAAAAGTTGGCCTTTCAACAATCGGTTGGGGACGGATTTCAAATGTTCCAAGCTGAAAAACCGAACCAGACGGATTCTGAGTCAAGTTTTGGACAAACAAGGACACAATTCATGAGTGGGCACTTCGCAAAGGTAACAGATTAAGCTGTCCGAGGATATCACAATTTTCGTAGGTGATGCCATAGCTGCTGAGAATTTCGCTCACGAAAAAAGTGTTGCAAGACTTTTGGAGGCCAGTATATACGAATACATGACATGACTAATTAAAAAATCACGAATTGCTTATGCAGTCATTAGAGCGGAATGCCAGTGTCGAAACAGAGCATAATACAGGCATAACTCGCATTTTGCATTTCAGCATTTTGTATTTGCAATGACGTGGTTCCTGGCTGCCGATCTTGGTCCTCCCCGAGGAGGTGGAAAATGCCTCTCGCACCTCGCTGCAGCCGCCGCGATACTGACAGCTTGCGTTTCGCTCTAGACAGAACGTTGAAACGGACCTTTCGATGGTGTTTTACATCTCGAGAGGCCGACTACCGGTAATATTTTGAGTAAATTCCTAGATACATACTTGTATACATTTCTACTTTTCCATGAAGATCAAAAAGTAAAAATCATCCCTTGAAACTGAATTATTTTCGAGAAATGGAGAATCTGTGATGTATAACGAACTGGAAAAGGTAAAACGCTCATTGACAACAACGAGAGGACCATAATTCAATCTGAAGTGATATGCCATAATTTTCCTGTGGTAATCATAGAAGTGCCTTTCTACATCTCTTATTTTCATCAAGAAGGAAAATATAATATTAGGCCATTTTCTAAATCTGGAACCAGTGTCTTCAACAGTATTTCAATCCTCCCTCGAATCGTCTGATGGATGAAACATGCACAAATACATCCAAGTCAATCCTAACTGCCAGGAGCCCAGCGCAATTGTTGAGGTAACAAAGGAAAGATAAAAGTTGCAGAATAATAATATTATGGAAGTTTAAGATCCTACAGATACTTTCACGCATGCAAAAGCAATCCTTGTGGATAAAGTCTTCTGCAAAAAGTTCATGGCACATCAGCCTTTCACCAGACTTGCACATGACATGTATCCACGCAGCTTCGGGTGTCATTGGTCTTTTTAAAGCAAAAATGTAATTTAAATGTATTTTCCATTCAAATCTGTATATCTTGGGTCCTATTTCTGGAGCAGAAAACTTGATGATTAATGCATAAATGTATCTATTCAGTACATTCTCATTTGTTATGACTTCATGTATGATGTCTTGATGTTAAATAATTGTATAATCTGTTGTGTGAAAAGTAGTCATTGCAAGGACTATCTAATCGGTTCTATTCTGGAGTTCACTTTGGCACTTTTGAAGTAAAGAGCATTATTTTGTCCTTTTATTATTGAGCTTAACTATTATTATTTCAATATAATGTATCATTTTCATTGTATTATATTGTACAGTTATATTCAAATTATATTCAAACAGGCATGAGTACTATGGCTGGAACTGAGAACACTCGATGCCGCTAACACACTGTGATCCATGCAATGACAACGATGCCAAAAATTGACGTTTACTCTTACTTCCCTTGTCGCTCGGGGAGCGTTCGACGATTGTCGGCCGAATGGAATGACAGGGATTCAAGCCCTTTTCAGATAGGGAGGGGGAACCATGATGTAAACAAGTTATACTGCAAGAACCTAAAAGTGACAGAAAAACCTTTTTAAATGGTCAGGCATGAGAGTCGAGTATATTCTGAAAGGAAAAAAAAATTTACTGCTCCATGGATTCTTGAATACCAAAAGAGATGGGGGGGGGGCATGTGATAGCAATGAATAAGCAAAAGTCATTGATGAATGCTGAGAAGGGCGTGAAGGGACAGCCAGTTTTCTCCAAAATTCAGCTGATGTAATTATGGAACGCTCCCTTGATTATACACACGAGTAATTTTCTAATGAATAAGCAAAAGTCATTGATGAATGCTGAGAAGGGCGTGAAGGGAGAGCCAGTTTTCTCCAAAATTCAGCTGATGTAATTATGGAACGCTCCCTTGATTATAACACACGAGTAATTTTCTTGTGGTGGTCCATGCATTCTGATTCATCACGCTTTCGAAAATAAAGACGGTATTTTCTCTCTTAACCATGACATTTACTTTCGGAGCACACATCATGAAAGATGTGAGTTACACACGAGTAATTTTCTTGTGGTGGTCCATGCATTCTGATTCATCACGCTTTCGAAAATAAAGACGGTATTTTCTCTCTCAACCATGACATTTACTTTCGGAGCACACATCATGAAAGATGTGAGTATTCCCCCTGTTTTTGCTTCCGAAACTCGGAGTTCGCTCTCCTTCACTTCAGGGAAAGAGATGTAAAATTGAGATGAGAGGGAGCGCTGTAGTGCGAGCGCACTTGTTCGACCATATTGATGGCGATGCAAGACCATTATGTCTTGGAATTCCTTCCATGGGAGAGTTGAGGTGCTGGCCACTATGCATGGTAATGGGAGCATGTGCAGCACAACCAGTACGGAGTACGGTTAAACAGTCTGGTCGGTCGTGAACAGGGAACGGCACCCAGGCAGTCTCAGCTGTTTCCCCGTCTTCCTGTACTGGGTGCATTGTTCTCATCGTACATACCTGAACCGGGTGAACTAAATGAAATCGCGTGTTTGCCCAATTGCGAGAGCATGAGCAGGTCTTGAAACGTTTAAATTCATTTCCTACGCTTTCCCCGTATTTTGGAATAAATTTGAAGACGAATCCGTTCCTCTACTGTTTAACAAGCGAGCGCTAACTCCAGTAATAATCTAACTCCTATATACTCTGGGAAGAAAAGGGGACTCCTTCCTTTGCTCCATCAGAATAAAAGGGGGGAAAATGAGGAAAACCGGAATTAGCTCTGGTCTTTTCCGAAGAAAAATGTACCTGCCGTGGAAAAGTATTTTATTGCACATGCACAACATTAGGCTTCTGAATGTACTGGGTTCCATGCGCTTATGAAAGGAATAGGACAAATTAACCTTTGACGAGTACGCTTACGTACTGTATTTACGGGCTGACATCCTTCAGGATCTTCAAGGGCGACCTGCCTATCGGCCTAATTAAATTTTTTGCCCGATGTGGAAAAAAAAAATGATTGAATAAGCCAATTCCCCAGCAAGCCAAGATATGAAAACTGAAAGTATCTAAGTAGAGCAAATTCGCTTAGTGACCTCGAAAAATATACCCCCGCATGGCTTCGTGAAAAACATTTTGTCGTATTTCACAAAGGGAAAAAATTCACAATATACAGTACACCTGAATCAAACCGCTATGGGTTTGATGCAATGTTGAAAGAAGGAATCTTGAGGACATGCCAGCATATATTGGTGAGAGCTATGCAACTTAAGGAAGCATAAGTAGATATTTTAATGGGAAAATAATTTGTTGCCAGAACTTAGTGCCTCCAGTACGCCCGAGCTTGTCGGATGACTTCAAGCTTGACGATGTCGATGCTTCCACTCAGCCTCTTCCTATGCAAGGAATCCATTTTTTACTTCATTATGCAGGGTGGCTCATAAAAATGTTGCATTTCATTGACCTGTATTTTCAGGTTTTTCTTTATTAAGTTAGAGAATTAAATGCCGCGTCATATGAAGTTTTTCATGTTGAAAAGTTTGTGCTCCCCCTTTGGATCGTTCCTGTTCGACGCTACATTTACACAGTAGCATTGCAATCAATTTATGCACGATTAGTTTTTTTTCTGATAGGAAAAACATCAGGAAATAGGGGGAATAAGGGAACTGAAAGAAAATAACGTAAACCTTTTTTCAACTCCCATGAACGACCTCCAGACAGTCTTGGCATATCTGGGGCCGTTTATAGGGTCGTCTTGGATCGACAGGAAAAATAATTTCGCAAAATCTTCCCTGACTTCCCCACGTCTAACGTGACTGGTCGAATTTTGACAAATTTCTAATCTACACAAACATGCATTGCCCGATTAGAGGTCGACGTCATTGAAGAGAGGCTGTAACAGGCTGTAATCATTCACGGGGAGCTTAATGCGCAGAGCACGTTTAAATTCCCAAAAATATTCCCTTCGGGTATACCAATTGAGCTCGCATAGGAGGCGTAGTATCTTCTATACGTGGTCAACGGGGGAAGGACAACGGAAACACCGCCAGATTTCTCCAACCAATAGGTTCTTCGCCTGCAGAAGTCGTAACATACAATCCCAAAGGTATTTCATATACATGGAACTGAACACACACTTCCATAACTTTAAAACATAACAATATAAATGGAACTCACCCAGAGGCAGAGGCAGACGTCCAAGGAAGCTCTGTGAAATCGACTCGGTATCCAGTACGCTTTTAAACCCTTCCTCGCCCCTCCCCCCACACACCCATTCCACGCCCTCTCCCCACCCTCCTCTCCGATCTGAAGGACGCGACCTTGTCACTCCCCCTTTCCTAACGAGATAAGCATCTGCCTTCTAACCGTCTTCCAACGGTCTTTCATGTCCATCTCCATCATGAGTTTCACACCCCACAGATTCCAGAAAATGCCAGCCTTCCCAATTCCATTTCTTTACTTACGATTTCAAGAACTTAATTCCTAAAGATCTCCCTATCGTGGCGCGCACAACTTATTCTTGGTGACGTGACATACACAACCTGCATCGGCGCTGCTTGAACCAAAAAATCCATCGATTCCTTTGTAAGCGGGTCATTCCATACGAACTCAACCAATATTAATATAAATTGACGCACGACCAACACGGCTTTAGCGATAAAAATTGTCAGCGATTGCAGTGAATCCAAAGAGCCCTGGAAAAAATAATCGACCCCATCGATTCTGCCGTTAGCGAGATATCGACCCCCGAACCTTGGGGGAAAACGGGAAAACCCCATGAACTGAAAATTTTCCATCTCAGGAACCGTTCATCGCACGGAGGCGTGCAATAGCTTGAACCAGAGCTCCTCGATAGGAAAACAATTGGGTCCAAACACCCTCGGAGTTTGAATGAGATTTCACCATCAACGTTGAATTTGAAAAAATGTGAAATTTAGTGCAATTTTGACACCCAATATCCCAATGTGGCGAGACTCACCCTTCCTCCCATTGTTTGTGGACACCCTGTGCGCACACTGGGAAACACTAGTAATAGGTCCTCGTACGGGAAGATGTTGATAGAAGGCTTGAAAAGGTCAAATTAACTAATTCTGCTGGATTTAAGCCTCACTGGCGAACAACTGGAGACCGGCCAGAAACCGGGGTGCTTACCCTAGAAAAGAAATTAACAATGGTGACACCTTCTCCCAAGGAAAGTTAGTCGGCATCATCAGAAATCATTTGGAGCAGCAAAAATTAACAGTAAATGATCGCGAAAACAATCGCGAATGCCCTAAATATCACTTTCATGTTGTTAAGTGCTGCTTTTCGTTTTGTGAAGGCGCATCCCATTTCTTATTGGTATTTCAAGTAAACTTTGATGTTGTTTCCTCAATTATCGCACTCTCTTTCATACGCAAAAAAAAAACCGTTTGCAAAATTGATGCCTTCCTTCCTGAGTTACAGCCGTTCAAAGTCGTCCAGTGACTTTTGACTCACCCCGTATTTTCGCGGTATGACGCGCGCTTAGACCGTCGCATGAATGGCCAACTACTTGCTTATATGGACGATGAATGGCATTTGCTCAACAGGCCTCTTTTTCAGCTACTCGCGAAAGGGCGAATTTACCACCCCTTCCTTAAAAGTTCACTTTAAAAAACATATAATTTCCCGTTTATGAATTTGAAATTGTCGTATCCGTGCAACGATGGTGATCGGGATCTTCGTCTCCGAATCTTTGGGAGCTCTTGACCTCGATCGGACCTCGACGTGGGTCGAAGGACTTCCGAAGGAATGGTAAAAAAAAAGCAAACAAGGAAAACTACTTTTGACATTCCTTTTCCTACTCTTATTTTCTTTTAATACAGCAGTATGTTAGTAATGCAACGCAACTAGCAGAATTTCCGAGTTTCTTTTTCTCACGCTGGTCGTGGACTGCTATTCATTGGAATGACTTGACTCCTTCGCATCACGCCTCGCGTTCATCATCGTGACGTTCTCTCACGCAGTATGTTCCTCAACCGGTTTGCTTTTTCGCGCACGATTCACGTCTGGGAAGATGTGACGTGAAGGGAATGGATTCAGGAGGCGATACCGACGGAAGGAGAGGGGCGTAGACGGATAGATTAATAACTATAGACGTATTTTCGATGGTCCGCGCGTCCGCGTCGCGTGAAGATGGGAGGAGAGTATGAAGTGCTGGATGCCAGATGCGGGATTTCACGCAAACGCCTAGCAACCCTGTCTACACGACCGCGATCAGCCGCTCTCTCCCATTGTCTACTATGGATCCTCCATCCGCGAGGGTTGGAAAGAAAGTAGGTGTTTTAATCATAGAGCAGAGATTATAACTAGAGGCGACACTCCGCTCGAATCCCATTCATTGAAAGGGGCGCAATATAGATGTCTCTGTCGATTCGCCACATA